CCAAATTAAAATTTTTAAACATAGGGTAAGGGTGAACATAATATTAAAGGAGCATGGACAGTTTCAGCTAAAATTTCAATTTATTTTTCCATTTTCACAAAATATTTAACTAAGGTCTTCATCAAAAATTAGAACACCAGTTGTCTAGATATAAGACAGATCTAGAGCTCCAAACCTCTGTTATGTAAACAAGGCTAGTGTCATGTTTTTATTTACACAGGTTAATATACTAATAAATGTTCATTCAAAGTAGATAATTTCAAATAAAGGTTAATTTTAAATACGATTCGACAGTTTCTATTGATTTGCTGAAATTCGTTTTGTTATAAATATAATATTTTCTATAGGTAAACAAAAACAAGGCACGAGCCTTGTTTACAGTATGAAGAACTCTAAGTTCTGTATCTTGTTTGTTAATCAACAAATGGTGTTCAAAGTTTTGCTAATCAATAGATGATGCCTTAGGTAGGAATTGTAAACATTAAAATCGGTTAAAATAATTCAGTTAAAACTGTGCCCAGGCCAGTAATGCTAAACTTTGATCTCCAACTGTAGCAGCATCCTATCCCCGGGGGTCATTATTTGAGCAAACTTGGATCTGCACTTAAAAAAAGTTTCCTTTTCCCAAAGGTTCTTGAGAAGGTATTTTTAAGTTACCGCCATATTTTCACTATTTCTGAATTATCTCTTCTTGAAAGAGGACTTAGCCCTCATTAGAACAAACATAAATGCCCTTCACCTAACGATGCTCTGTGGAATGTTTGGTTGAAATTGGCCCAGTGGTTTTTGAGAAGTTAAAATGTGAAAAGATTACAGAGGGATGGGCGGACAACAGACAGACGGATGGACCAGACACAAAATATGATCAGAAATGTTCACTTTCGTATTCAGTTCCGGTTAGCTAAAAAAGATCTTCACCAGTTTAGTTCCTCGCAATGGAATCTTTAAACAAGAGGCCCATGGGCCACATCACGCACCTGAGCACATGGGCTAGTTATAAAACACAATCAGCTCAGTTTTGAAAAGTTTACTTGTTAGGGGAGGGGAGATTTGAATTTTCTAATATGTTTTACGGTGTGACCGTTGGGGCAAGCGCAGTTGTACCTTCAAAAATACACCTGAAACGTTGATCAGCCACTTCAAACGTCAAGTTGCACGAGACATCTAGACTCTCACACGAGAGCTTGTTACTTTTACGGAAACAGTCGAGCTTCTAGTTGAAACTTTAAACCTGGTTCAATTTTTGCCGAGAGACATTGCAGAATTATTTTTTGTTTCTTTTAAAGATTTCTACAAACTGAAAGCCTTTTATGCTTTACCTTATTAATTATTTATTAATTTATTCGCGCAAAGGGTATTGGGTACATGTAGCAAAGGAATTCTGGGAAGATTCCACATAAAAACTTGCCTGACAATTTCATCAAATTCGAAATCAGAATTTCCTCTGCTCGTACACATTAGTCTATTGAGCTCGCTTTGCGAGCATCGTTTCGCCACGCTTGCTGCGCTCGCTGTTACTTGAGAATGTCACTATATCAATAAACAAATATGTATAAATTTGCCATACTTGAAAAGAAGATTTTTGATCTCCCATTGTGACCATTAATGGGGGGCATTATTTGAATAAATCTAAATCTTTACTTCTCTCACATTCTTACAGGTCAATTTTACTTAACAAAACTTTTCTGTTCCGGAGAAGATTTTTTCCAATATATTCTTATGCAAAATTTTGGTCCCTCATTGTAGCCACATCCTAACCCCGGGTTCATAATTGGAACAAACCTGAATCAAAACCACCTGAGGATACTTCCATTAGTTCCATATAAAAAATATTACTTTTCATGGATGGATTTGGTGTTCTCCAGAAAATTTTTAAAGATATTTAAGTATAAATTCTTATGTAAAAATTGATCCCACATTCTGTCTCCACCCTATACCACCAAGAATTTGAACAATCTTCAAACTACACTACCTGGGGATGCTTCCATATAAATATCACCAAGCATGCCATGGCTTTGCTGCACTTGAGAAGAAGATTTTTAGAGATTTTTCCTATATATTTCTAATTAAAGCTTTGATTGCCCATTATGGCCCAACCCTACCCCCAGTTGTCATGATATGAACAAAATTGAATAAACTCTAATCGACGATGTTTCCATATTAATATCATCAATCATGACTTTGCTGATCTTGAGAAGAAAATTTTTAAAAGATTTTTCCTACTTATTCCTATGTAAAACTTTGATCAGCCATTTTGACCCTACCCTAGCCCCAGGGGACAAGATTTGAGCAAAATTGAATCGACCCTACCTGAGGATGCTTCCACACGAGTTTCATCTTTCCTGGCCCAGTGGTTTTGAGAAAAAGATTTTTAAAAGATACCATTTATTTTTCATTAATTCATAATTATCTCCCCTTGGAAGAGAGCTTGGTCCTTCATTTGAACAAACTTAAATCAGCTTCTCCCAAGGATACTTTGTGGCAAGTTTGGTTAAAATTGGCCTAGTGGTTCTTGAGAAGAAGACGAAAATGTGAAAAGTTAACGACAACAACAACAACGACAACGACTACGAAGACAACGGACAAATTTTGATTAGAAAAGCTCACTTGAGTAACTTTGGCCATTCTGTTTTTCACCATAGTCCCCCTTGTAATACCTGATGTGGCCCAACCCAACTTCTCTCCAGGGGTCATAATATTTATAGTTTAGATTCTACACCACCCTACAATGCTACCTCATTAGTTTCAGCTTTTCTGAACCAGTGGTCTTTGAGAAGAATTTAAAATATTTCCCCTGAATATTTCAAAGTTATAAACTTTGATTTCCTATACGCCCACCCCCGGGATCAATATCTGAAAAATTCAGATTATAAATTTCCCCCAAGCAAATATTTCAAACAAGTTTCAACTTTTCTGGCTCAGTGCTTCTTGAGAAGCTCTAAGGTCCCTTCCTCCACCCAGGGGTCAAGATTTGAACAATTTAGAATCAGCACTATCTAAGGATGCTTCCACATGAGTTTCAGCTTTCTAGCCCAGAGGATCTTGAGAAGATGTTAAAAGATGTACCCAATATACTAGTAATTCAATGCAAGACCTGGATTCCTTATTGTTTCCCGCCCTATCCCCCGAGGTCATAATTTGAACAACTACCCCAAGATGATTTTTAAATGACCTCCCCCTATTTTTGTCTATTTTTGATCACGATCAGAGCACGTCCTGTCATATACAACGGTAGTCAGGAGTTGTTTGAAGGAAGAATTCTTCTCTGGTTTCTGACTAGATGAAAAATTCAAAGTGCATTTGCTTATATGTCTTATACATGTATATTTAAGTGTAATCATAACAGATTTAAAAGACCATATCTTTCTTTCCTCATCACAACTGTACAACTTTAAATAGATTTTTTTTTAATTAATGCCCAGGAAAAGGGTAATGACCTTGACCTTGTCTCTAATATAAAACGGTCAAATTCAATCTCACTGACACCATCACTTAGTGATATTGTCTTCGTGATTCTGTGAAAATTTCATTAATTTTTAAATGCAAGAAAAATGTGAGAAGAATCCTCCCTTAAGTATTCCACGTCTTATTATTATGACTGACCTATAGGCTTATCAACTTGCCAGTCACATTTAAATTATATTGTACGTACTAAATGCTTTAGTACTATTGCAGGTGGCTGAATGATAGTGACCACATAATTCCCTTCAAGAGGATTAAATTGTTTGACGTCAGATAGCAATTATAATCAGTATCTTCAGTGATAAAATATACATACTCATGATGAATATTGTTATTAAGGTGTAATATCCCTCTGATAAGAGAGATAACTTTCTGGGTACATTTTTCCATAAAAACAATGAATTGTCTTGTCAGAATTTTCAGACCATATTTAGTCAACTGGTACTCAATCAAATCAACTCTTTCATACATATGTTGTTTTCTAGTTTCTATTGCCAATATTTTCATTAACTATCTGTAAAAGTTTACCTAAAACATTTATATCTCTTAGACGTTGCGCATAATATTGGGGCTGTTAATTAAGTAATTTGTAACACTAAAAGACGGGCGCTAGTATTTTTTAGTCATTTTTTCGCTTAGCCTTAATGGATTTTTTTGCCTTTTAGCACATATTTAGCCTGGTTTCTACGTCCCGCAGTGGAAATCGTGACACAAGGATCAACTCTTTACTCTGTGATTTTAGAGCAACCGCTCTAACCACTTCACCGCGTGGGCGATGACTGCCATTTGTATTTCTACTTCTGGATAATTACAAACTATTTATTTGATAGATTCTAATACACGCATAAGAAGACAGGGGTCAAAATATTTAGTAATAAATTTATATGCCATGATTTCTGTGCAGTTGTTTTTATTATTACCTCTGGATCTTACATTTATAAAATTATGAATATTTCAAAGGCAACATTTACCTTCTTTTCTGTCTCGACATTTTTTGACAAAATAAAGGTGGATAACTCAATTTTATTACTGCATTAACAATTAGAGAAGATGTGTATCTCCCGTGCTTTGTAAGGATTAAACGATGAATTCATTAACAGTCATTTGATTCTTTTATTCCAGTTGATTTACTTTAAAAATTTACTCCCAATTGCTGAACCAAAGCCGTCAAAAAATCAGTTGACCACAAGTCTTCCGATTCATGGTCACCCGCGTCTAACAGTGGTTAGAGCGTCTGCTCCAGAGTCGAGAAGTAAGGAGTCACTCAATCCTTAAGTTGCAGCTTCGAATCCCAAAGTGGGATGTGGAAACCGGTCCTTCGGATGAGACCGTATAAACCGAGGTCCCGTGTTGCAGTAGTAGGTGCTGGTACAAAAAGATCCCTCCCTGCTCAATGGCCCTGAGTGCAGAGTATAGGACAAAATTTGCAGCTCTCCATCGGCAAGTGGTGGCGTCTTCATGTATGAAAAATTCTCGAGGGACGTTAAATAATATATAATCAATCAATCCAATTTATGCTTGTAAAATATAAACGAATATTAGTTACTTAAGTCTTTATTTTTCAATAAATGATGTTAGTATGAAAGACATACAAAGAAAATGAAAATGAAAAAAAAGATGTCCTCTATAACATTATGTTAACTCAAATGCTGGGAAATACGCATTTTCTGGATTCAAAATATCCGACAAGAAATAAGTAGTCCCAGCCATGCCTGAAAAAGAGGGAAAAATCATATTTTTCCTATTGGCGTATGTGTCATAAAATATATACATCAAATTATCACTCCAAATTAGCAGATTATTATATTCATGTTACACGATTGGCAGTATTTTCACTTTTGGTCTCTATAAACTAGCTTGTTTTACCTTTAATAATAGCCATAAATGGTCATACGCAGATTGAAACATTTAGTTCTTCTAACAACTTAAAGGTGAAATAACGAAAATCTGACCTACATTTGAATGCTGATCACGTCATATGTTCACGGTGGATGTGACTTACTCTTTAAAGATAAGCACCTGATCCCACCTCTGGAATTTCAAGGGCCCTGTGTTTTGGTCCATGTTTACAGACCTTCTTTATTTGTAAAATGTTCAATCGATCATTGTTCGTATCTTTGCCTATTTTAAGCACGGTCATGAATACCATTAAATTCTTATACAGTAGTAATTCACAGTAAAAATATCGCTTCAGCTGCGGTTTTACATGCTAATTTTTCTATAGAACAATACCACGAAAGGATCAAAGTATAGAATAAATATCAAAGACATCAATTTATTAAATATTCGATGCCCAAGGGACAACTTTCATAATGAAGCAAAATCAGATGTGTTTTTAAAGCCAAATGAATTGTATTAATTTTTTTTTTCAGTTATACAATCTAAAGCTTCTTTCTTCAAATTTCCTCAGTCTAATTTAATATCTCAATCCAGGAATATTGTTGCAAAATAAAAATGAAACTAATTAAAGATAATGGGCATTAATTTTAATGCCAATAAAATTAATTTAATACGAACAAAAGTTACACATGCTCATATCTGCATAAATCCCTTTTAAGGATATTAATGATAAAAAAATATGAATATGACTATTAGGAAAAAGATGAGACAGCCTTTTATTTAAAAAAAAAACGCAATAAAATATACGTCGGTTGAAATTATTAACATGATTAATATTATAATATATCAAATGCTGAGAAATCAGAGCAAGTCAGACAATAAATGACATTTGATTACTTCTATGTTGATACAAATAAATCGAGTATTTAATTCAAGTAAGAAGCATAAAAGAAAAAAGGTTTGACCTAAGTTTTGAAGGCTAGAATTGTAAAAAGGTCTATAGCTTCAAGCGGTTGCATAAAGTGGGTTAAAATTTTGATTTCCAACTGAATGCATGATCTGGAGATAAGCACTTTCCTTACCTAAAGATATTTATGCCTTCTTATTTGCTAACGATAAAATTCCCATCAATCAAAATGATTTTGAACAAGAAGTCTCTGTCGAGACTGTAGCTCTACTGTACCTACAATAAAGGAAAAGGTAGCAAATGGGACTTGAAACTTTACAACAGCAAAAATAGATACACTGTAGTTAAGTCTCTTTTTGTGGCAAGATTGCAATAATACTACAACTGTAGGAGTTGCTTTTAATAAAATTTTACAGAATTTTCATTTTTCGTTACCATGGCAATATCATTCATCAAAATAAAAAAAAACCAAACAATTATGTATCACTGTAGTCTAGTTGCATGCCCCATTATATTATAATCAGACTAAAACTGTACATGTTTGGGGTAGCATTTTACAGAAATTTCTATTTTTGGTAGCCATGGCATCATTGTATATCGAAATCAAAAACCGATAAACATAATTATGTATCTTAGTGTACACTTCTTGTGTGCCAAGTTATATTGAAATCACACCAAAACTGTAAGAGGAGTATCACTATGAAAAATTGTTTACAGACAGACCGACAACGGACACATTACTATCACATATACTCTTCTGGTCTCTGACCAGTAGAGCTAAAAACCATACTTATTCTGGATTCCAAATTTCATAAAAAGCCTGACATATAACGACACACTATAGAAATTTGAAATCCAAATTTTATCAAAATCAATAACTTCAAAACTTTTAAACACTTTACACATAATCTATCATTCCCATGATAAATCAAATCCAAGCTTTTGAGCATCACAGACAGATGCTTTTTTGATAAAACATACTAAGTAATCAGAGATTACAGTACTTACCTCAAATAATCAGTGAGTCAAAGTCCCATCTTAAACTAATCATCTAGTAGTGTACATCCCAAGTTGCAACAATTCAGCAATTTTGATCTTATAGGACTTGCAACTACTTAAGAATAAACTTATCAAAAGTCTTCTTGTCATTCGTCTAGAAAATTCGTTCAATCCGGCATCTGAAGCAGGTTTAAGAATGTTCATTACTTGTAACATCATCCATGCAAATTTGGTTCAGATAGGCCTGATAATTTCATGGTCACCAATTCGTAAAATGCACACCTGATCCAGTTTCCGAAGCAAGCCTGGCAGTGTGCATCCTTAGATGTATCGTCCATGTAGGTTTGGTCAACATATGGCTAATGAATACTCTAGAATAAACAAGATCTGAAAACTTGAGGGGCTGAGGTCAATGCAAATTTCTTTCAGTACCAATTTTTTGGCATTCAATGCTGCATTTCCCTGATATCAATTACCTGTAGTATATAGTGGGGGCCAACCAGCCTTTCAATGAAAATTTCCAATAGTAAAAGTAATGTTGGGGAAAAAAAAGTGGGGGCCTTCCACCCCCCTCCCCGGCCCTTCATGTTGCTACGTGCCTGCTGGGTCTCTGACAATAACAATATCTTTGAAGTTTTCCAAGATTAAGTCTTCCAATTGCAACTTCTTATTAGCAAATCTGTCTATTTTTTTTTTTATTTATATAAGGCAGAGTTTATTTCAAAATCTTCTAAAGAAAAAGAAAACACTTGCCATGACCTTCAACTCAATATTCGGATATATCGACAATTTATTTCCAATTAACAGTTTTTACTTTATTCATGTCATCTCTATATTAAATTATTTTCAATCAACAGTTGTTACTTCCATTTATGTCATCTTGATATATCCTAGTTAATTTAAAATAAAAGATACCTAATAATAAAGCTTTATGAAAAACAAGATGAGTGACTTCAACTTTTCTATCGTTAACTTTTCCCTATTTATGTAGCAATGTACATATCAACTGCATGTACATATGGTATTTACGTCTCTCAGTTGATTCATATGCAATAGCATGCACTATGTACAAACAATAACTAAATCAGGGCAGGCTATTGATAAACATCAAGCTAATAAAACATGGATACCATATAAGTAGAAATTTTAGCGAGAAGCAAATTTAGCGATTTCTCCTTAAAAACTGATATCTTATTTTTAGTGACATTAAATTTTAGCAATTTGAAAATGGTCTTTAAAGGCGATTGGCATTTTGGAACCTTATCAGCAAATATTCTCTCTCACTTCTGTATTGTTTAAAGGACTTTTGTGCTTGAATACTGTTCATTATCTCCATATATTTCATTAGTTCAAATGCGACTTTTTCATACCAAATGTTAGACCATTTTTTTAATATACAAAATTGTCTATGTAATTTTTTCATTTACTTGATCATGGCTAAGACCACAACTGTTGTGTGTGATCAACAGGAGATGCTTTCTCCGATCCAACCTGTGATGTTTAAGAGGTCCATGATTGCTTTGCTCCCAATATATACTGTTTCAATGGACTTTTTAGCCTTAATCATGTTAATACTTAGCAATTTCTCCATATTTCATCAATATTCTGACCCATATTTTAGTGGGTATCTTCCCTTGTGACTTACAACCACAACTTTATGAAGTAAAAAAAAATGAAAAATCAAATACTATTTTATGTATCTTGTTCTTTACTATCTCATAGAATCAAATATTCATTTGTAGAGATGCATTCATAATCAAAAGGATCAAAAATATTAAATTCTATGGAAACTTGACAGTAAGGGGAAGACATGAAATCACTTTGAACCAACATTATTTTTTTTAATCTAACTTATTTACCATGTATGATTGTCTTCCATGTTTTTTTTTCATTTTCATTCCTTTATTTTTCACACTTCTCTCTTTATTAACGTCAAAGAAAACAATATTAAGTGTTTGGTTCTCTACATACGTGTGTATGGTTTTCTCCCACCAATTACTTGTTTCCTTCCAGGTTCACTTACTCTTTTAAGACAGAAAACGTGACATGCTTGGTTCTACACTTTCACGTTTACCCAAACATCCGTTCCATTCTATCAACAGTTCACTACCTTCAAACACACAATATGGAATATTTGGTTTTCCCTATTGGAAAATTTCTTCCTCTTAACAGTTCACTACCTTCAGACAGACAATAAGGAATATCACAGTTCACTTACCTTCAAAGAGAGAATAAGGTGTGTCTGGGATTCTACAGCCATGTTTTCCATAATCACAGCACCACTCAGCAAACTGAAATATACAATGCCTTAAAGTACCAGTGGTTAATATGCATCAGCAGTCAAATTTGACTTGGCAAAACATCTGTTGATGTATTGGCCTCTTGGAGGTAATGCAGCTCTTTCTTGACAAACTCACATCTGCTGTCTTTCAAACATATGAAAAAACAGGGAAGGCCCCCTTCTTCCTTTCACCTCCTCTTTCCCCAAATAACTTGAAAACAAGAGGTCGATGGACTAATATGCTAAAATACTGTATACAGGAAAATTTTTGCCCCCATTTTATTTTCGCCCCTTTTGCCCTAGCCTCGTTTGGATGAATATAAGAAGGGGCAAATTCATAGTATATCGTATAAATTTTTAAACAAAACTGTGACTGGGCAAATTTAAAACTAGACAAAATGGTTTGCAAGTGTGAAAGGGTGAAAATAAAGCGGGGCGAAAATAACCCTGTATACAGTAGCTTTCAATGACATTTCATCTTTTCTAGTTTCTTAGTTCTTGGGAAAAGAAATTTGAAGATTTTTTCCTATGGTCTTACCCTACCCTCTGGAAAAATGTTTGGAATTATTCAGAATCTACTTTATGTCTATAAGTTTCATTTTTTTCTAGTCCAGTGGTTCTTGAGAAGATTGTTAAACATCTGTTCTTTTATAATTCAATGTTTAACTTGCATCACATACTTTTGCCCCATCCTATCCCAATGTTTTGAGTTAATCAGAATCCAGGAAGCTTCCACATAAGTTTCAATTTTCTGGTCTGGTTGATCTTGAAAGATTTTCTATATTTCTCTAAAGTACTTCAATGTGAAATGTATTCCCTATTGTAGCTCACCCTACACATTGGGTCATGATTTGATTGATGGTAGCATCAAAACATTTGATTGATTGAACATACATGTTGGCTTTTGTTAATACTGGCTACAGAAATAATTCAAATGGAATAATCTCTTACATTGCTCAAGTCTGTCTCACTGTCTAAGAGATAATACTGAAATTGATCATTGGGATATATTTCTGAAGACAGTAATAAACCTAATAAACAATTCTTTTTGTGAGATCAATGCCCCATTGTTCAAAACTTAAATAATACTATGTAATTGTAGATGATTTTTAATCAATTGTGGTTTGTAGCAGCTTTTTTCCTACACAATACAGGGCATTCTCCATTTCTCCTAGAAATTAACACTGCTTTATATGTAAAATTTAAATTAAAAGTAACAGATGTTAAAATATATTAATACTTTAACTGTAGATGCACTACATACATCTGATTACAAGGAGAGGCATATACTCTTTTTGTCCTCTCTCTCCAACAACTTATCCCCAACCACCTTAAGTCTGATACGGGTGTAAGCAAGGTTTTTTTTTTCTTTGTACATCATAAACATGTACCTTAACAGTCCTATAAAGTAATTTTTTTAGCTGTTATGTTGTACATGAAATTAAGCATGTACATGGAAATTAAGCATTATTCAACAGTTGTTTTAAGTAAAAGTTCTTCAGCTCAGTTGGATTATCACCCATTTTATTTGCTCATTTTACTAATTAATAGTAAATGCAGTTTACTTTATAAGCCATCTTACCTGAACCATAGATGTAGAAGTGGCAAATATTATAAATTAAAATGTTTTTTTTTCAGTATCTTTTGCTAAAGTGTTTATATATCTGACAGCAATTATATACACAAAAGCTGATTTTGTGTCCTACCAGAATTTTTATAACCCATAAATATATACTATTGGTTTATAACTGACCTTTTGTACACAATATTTTTTTTTCTAAAATCAGTAATCTAGCACTGTTATTCATACTGCTAGATTCTATTAACTTATATTTTATCTATTGGGGGGGTCTCACAGTATATATATTTGAAAGTCTGATTTTTATTCTCGAGTTTATATGCTCAATTTTATTAAACATTTTTCAATTTTTTCAATAAACCATAGTTATTAGGAATTTTTTTTTTTTTTTTTACTTCATTTACATGGTTTTCCATTTTCGATTGTGAAAAATTACAAATATTAGCCCTTTGTGCAAGTCTCGTGCCATATTCATATTTGAAATGATGGAGAACTCTGACATTAAATACATTTGTACTTTTATGGCCCTTTTAAGGATAATGTTTTTACCTGTAATTTCTATCATTAATTAACTTTAAGGCTGCAGCTTTAGTCCTTATCCTATTTGTTTTTGCATTTATCTATATTAATATCTCTAGATACATGACTACTGTAATAGTTTTCATCTTGTCATTCAATGCATTAATACCTTTACCTGCTTCTGTTCAGCACAGTTTTGTGTTATACTAGCTACATCGTCACATACCTTTATAGCCCTATGTAAGTAGAGCTCTTCTCCTGTCACTTTATACATGGCTAGGAATGCATAACCATTTCCTGCAGTTCCATGGCACAAGCCGTAACCTTTCTTTAAGAGTCCGCGTGACCAGATAACATCTGCACAGTGTTAGATATTTGCTGTCAGCATTTTTTTTTTTGAAATATTTTTTCTAGATATTTGCTGTCTAAACATTCTATATTCTGATCTTTTCTATTATATCATATAAATTATAAAGAGAAATATGTGTATATTTTTCTGATCTTTCCATAAAATTCAAATTTTTGTCACTTACATGTATAGTCTGTAACCTATTTTAAATTTTGAGGGGTAATCATCACAGACAGTAATGAGAGTTATTTATAGATAAAAATACAAAATAACATTAAAAATACACATTTGCATTATATTCTTGATTTCATTTCTATACTTGACTAAATTTTAAGCCTGAAAAAAACTTAGATCCACCCACAGGCTACATTTCACTCACCTTGTAAGCCTGAATAAACATGTAGATCCACCCAGGGGCTCCGTGGCACCAGTGAACAAGCTTGTCTCCGGTGCTGCTCCCTAGCGAAGAGGGGGTGTTTCCTGAGGGAAACTGGAGAGACAGCATAAAGTCCACAGAGGGTCTAACCAGGGAATCTATCTCAGATTGTAGGGCTGGATCCTTGATCTGATCAAAAAGAAAAATCTACATCTATAATGAAGTAAACAAGGGACCTTGTCAGCTGGGAGTTTTTCTCTTGGCCTGGATGACTGAAAAAATCATATCTGTAATAAGTTTTACAGAGGGTTTCATTGTTTGGAGGGCTGAAACCTTAATCTGTCAAAAATAAAAACATGACATATCCTAGCCAATAGGTCCGGTTTTTGGGAGTTGCATTTTTAGTCCAAAACTCTATGTCCAACTAATAAGCAATTTATAGAAAAATGCTTTTTTCCTGAGGGTGAAATTATATTTTATAAATATTTCCAACTATTACTATCATTGGTTAAATTAAGTTTGGATATATTAAAGCATTTATATATTGTAAGATTATGCATATATATACACATAATAAAGTACACTTACATATTTTAATAACTTTATTTTTATCTGAAGTGTGCATTGCTTTATTTTTTAATGATTTAAATCATATATCAGTGTTGTTTTTAAAAATATTAATTGAAACTAGGTACAAAGATCAGAGCACTTATTTGAAATTGTCAACCGATTCTGGCAAAAAGTTGTACCGACTTATAAGCGGGTCAATGACAAATCCCTCCAAAATAACAGCAAAAAATACAACCAACTTATAGGCAAGTTTATAGGGTAATGAAATCCACAGTCTACCTCACTAAGTAGTCACCTTAGTTGGGAGGTGGGAATAAAGCTTGATCCTTAATGTGATATAAAAGAGAAAAAGACAAGTCACTCATTTCATTTTAAAGGGTAAAAACCTTCACGTAACAAAAACATAACCAGATAAAGAAGTATGTACCTTTACATGTACAAAGTATCAATATTGATTAAGTGCCTTTGCTTAATTGATAAGCAAGAGCATTTCAAGTAAATGCATTCTCTCAAAGCTACTTAAGGAGGTATTGCACTTTACAACTTACACACACACAGAATCAAAGTCAATATTAATCTTACCTGAAACAATATATAGAGGATTCCAGCCAATCCGTGAGCAGCTCCTAGGTAGTATTTCTCATGCCACTGGTACATCAGGGGATGTTTAAAGCCTTCTTGTTTGGCTAAATCTTTACCTGACTTTAGCACAGTCATTGTCAACCTCTGAAATAGAATATATTGTAGAATGTACATTGGTATTCAGCATGTACATGATTTTATGCTCTGTTTACATGAAAACACTTTATATTTATCATTAAATACCTATTAATTTGCTGAAAATGAATTTGCAGTAAATAAATTTCAACCAAACTAATGTGAATTAAATTGTGTTCTTACAACAGTTTAAGCAAGGTTAACTAATGCCATTAATATCTTTTTCTACAATACATGCAACACATTTACAGTAGATGACAACACTTTTTACTGAATCAGATATATACACTTTAGAAAATAGTGTCTCAGTGTACATGTTTTTTAATGAAAATCTAATTTTTCCTTTGTTTTTACTCACAATTAGCACAAGTACTTATACATGTATCACACCAATGATATGAGGCTTAAATTTTGCTATTATACATGCATCAAAATTTAATTTAAATTAGCTTTACTTGGCAATGCCATTGACTGAGTTAAGGAAAATTGATCAATAGTTTTGCATGATAACAAAAAAAATTTTAAATCTTTAATAAGGGGTGTAGATAACATATCCCAAAAAATTTTGTGGAAATTAACTGAACAGCATTGAAGATGCAAATGTGCCTCAGTATCAAGCCATCAGACTGTTTAAAATTACTGTAAAATCACATATATTCTTGGGGTCAAATGTTCATGGTTTGAGGAAAAAATATGGATCTTTGGGGGGGGGGGGTTAATTCCATGGATGAAGATTTGTTGAGTAGCGATATCTGTAAAAAAAATTCCATTTCATGTTGGACATAAATTCCTGGGTCTCTTTATGTCTTGAAAACTATGAAAATCATCCTGCTCCCCCTGAAAATTAGTGATTTCACAATACCTTCAGAAGAGCTTTGTCAATCACTTCTTCCCCAAGCTTCTTTTGTACAAACAGGAGAGAAAACACATATCCTACTCTACCATAGAGGAGCTCATCAGGTAAGTGTTTGTCTGCTATAACATCCTCACTCAGATCTATCAACCTGATTAGAAATTAAAACCTGTACAACAGTTACTTTAAATACTTGAAATTTTTATCTTGATTACACATGTACAATAGATTTTAGTACACATGTAGTAAAAATTACCAAAATAATATTTCCCTAAATAATCAAATGAAATTGTTATCAAAAACTAGATACCTTTTCAGATATTTCTCAGTTACCATTTGATATACTTTTGAGATACTTCTGAGATATCTTTTTCAAGATGAATCAGAAATTTTTGCACTCCTATTGAGATACTTTAGAAAAAATGTTTGAGAAACTTCTGAGATTATTATTTGAGATATCTCTGAGATACATTTAGAGATACATGTACATCTGAAATTTTGAGAGTATCTTTTGAGATATTTCTGAAATTCTAGGGGTATCTTTTGCTATACTTCTAAGTATCTGAGATACCTTTTGAGATATTTCTGAGATTGTGAGTGCTGGCCCAGAAGAGAGTAGATCACAGTAGCCAGAGCTAGAGGTCCTGCATCACCGCACAGAAAGGTCAATCTCCTCCCCTTCAGGTGCCCTAGGTGCCCCCTGATGTAATCCAGTGATGTGTGGAGCAGGGAGTCATCTCCCTTGTTAGGACTGATTTCATACAGATGAAGGTAAAGTAAAGCTATTCCTATAAGTAAATGTTACAAAAAGATATTATTACATTAAGCCATCTTTAAAATAATGTTTGCTGGCCCTCTCCTGACTCGGTAAAATTTTTGGAATTGGTAAGTAGGAGGTAAAATCTTTTTTCCAGAAAATTCCAAAATATTTGTTGACGGGATAAGAGAATAACTAGAGGTACTGTGAGCAATGAGCTCACTAAATGATATCCCCCACCTCCCATATGGTTATAATGGCAAAGTCCATGTTTTTCTGTGGCTGGGAAACCCAAAATATGTGTCGGATCAAAAAGTAAAATAGGATGTGCACAATGGAAATATGTATTAAAGATTCTCTGAAAGTTTCATTAAATTTCACTCAGTGGTATAGGAGGAGTTGCAGATAAGAGATGGGTACCCCAAAGCGTAACAGACAGACGGACGGACATACGGACAGATGGACATACCGATTACAGTATACCCTCCCACTTTTCAAGCGGGGGGTATAAAAAAAAATGTGTCCTAGCTGGAATATAAAATGTTTTAAGTTGGACCAATTTTAATCAGTTGGTTGGGACTTGGGAGAGTGCAACCAAACATGGCCTAATGCCAGATATTTTAATTTTCTGGTACATATTAAAGGTAAATAATTAAGTAAAAAAACAATTGAAATAGAGATGGTAGAAACGCTCTATAGTCATGACACATTATATAAATGGTGCCTGTTTTGGAGGGTAACATTTGAAATTGACACCCCAAGGTCAAGGAAAACCATTGTCAACCGACGCGTCAGCGGAGGTTGACAATGGTTTTCCGAGGGGTGTCAATTTCAAATGTTACCCTCCAAAACAGGCACCATTTATTTTATTATACTGAATGTCTTATTGATTTAGGACGTCAGCAAAAAAAAAAAAAAAAAAAAAACGTCGATCGTCTTTACGTTCATGTATAGAAAACTTTCACACTCACCGGTTCACTAATCTCCTTATTGTTTGTTTGATACTCGAATTAGAGTCATTTATCATATAAAGTTTCGTTATTTCTGGCTCGAAAGCATGTTTCCTACACTTGCAAGCATGTATCGTCTGTCGTTTGTTGTTTTCAAGTTAGCTATATCGGACGCAAGCTTTTATTGACGTCAAGTTAATTCCAGTTCTTTCAAACGCGCAACTGACGTTTTGAGAATTCTACGGTGAACCGTACGCGCATAATTTCCACGCAGGTGGCATTACCGTTGTGTTACCCGTTGTCACGTGTGTTGCTAAGGCTCAGGGTAATCGAACGGATTGTTAAAGTTCTGCGTCTAAACCAATCAGATTTTAGTATTTAACATGAAAGTATAATAATATTCATTACACACATACTCAAAGTATTTGAAATTTCTTTTATGTTTCCAAAAAAAATGTATAAAAATATTACATGTTTATGTGTTACCTAAAAAAAGAGGGCTTCATATTTTAGCAGCTTTGGTGCAAACAACAATGTACTAATTCATGAATACCACTTATAAATCATTAATCAATATTACACAGTGCAGACATGTATAGTGCTAATTTGTGATTTCACCAATAACACCATAATGATATCCAGTGATCTGCACTAAATCATGTACACACAGTACTTGAACTTACTTAATATAAATGTCTTCACATGCACACATATATATAAAGTAGGGATTTAATTTTTATGAAATATGGGCAGACAGATTTAATACATCAAGTCATCTAACATTAAAAGTAATGAACTGTCAAAGATCTTGTATGATATATGATAGACATGTTGGTAAAAGTTCCTTAATAGCTTGAGTTCAAAAGAGAAGATGTACTCAGTTATCTTTCTTAGCCTTACTATCACATTACTTTTGACAAATAAATTTGATTGCAAAACTTACAGGGAAGGGCCATTTCACCAACATCTCTTATCCTAAACATGCCACTTCTAAAATTTAGACTAATTCCATCCATATTCACATGAGTAATACATACATGTACCAAACAAATAATCTTACTCTAACTGTAACACTGGACATGCTGGAAGAAACCAAAAAAAAAAACAAAACTGGGATCAGCAATAAAACTGCTTGATCACAACACAAACACATCCATCAAACCTAATTATTGAATGAGATGAATAAAATGAGAGTCAAGGTACACTTACATGCAATGACACTTATTATTAATCTGACCTGCTGACCCTGTGTACACTGAGTAGTCTCCCTTATCTTCAGATTCTATTCCTCTTTTTACTTTCTCCAGCAGTTCATGGTATTTCTCTTTGAACTTCTCTTTATATGTGTCCAACAACTATCAAATATTAAATTAAAAGACTCAGTGTCAATCAAAACTATTGATAAAACACATGTTTTCACGACTGACAACTGCATCACCAATTTGGAAAATCAAATTATCACTGTAGGGGACAGAGCCATGATACCAAAATAAATTAATGCTTTAAAGTCCATAAATAGCCACTGAAGTGGGGAGGGTTTTTTTTCCAAGATGGGAACTTGCATCCCTTATAGCTGTGGTTTTTCTTGCCTTTTTTAAGAGTATCTAAAGAAGATTTAAAATTCTAATATGTCTCATGGTGTGACCTTTGGGGTGAGTGCAGTTGTGCCATCAAAAACACACTCGAAACATTGATCAGCAACTTCAAACATCAAGTCAAATGAGACATCTTGACTAGCTGTGACATCACTAGACGAATCATAAGCTTGTCAGAGCTTATGGAGACAGCTAAGCATCTTTTGGAAACTAAAGACCTACTGCAATTTTTTTAATGAAGGCATTGTTGAGTATTTTCTTGCTTCTTTTAAGATTTCTACAAACTGAAAGCCTTTTTATATTTTATTTATTATTCACCATTTTTGCATGGAATCCAGTGGTAGCAAAGGAATTCTGGGATATTTCACACAGAATTTTGCTTGACGTATGTACAGATTTCCTCTGTTCTTAAACATTAGTCTATTGAACTATAGCTTTACAAGCATTGCAAAGCTGCACTCACTATTAATTTATTTTACATTTAACAATCCGGAAACCAAGCCCCTATCACTAGGCTATCTGCCCTGTGTATATTTGCACCATTTTGGAGATGCTTTGGAATTGTTGTCCTCTCCAGAAATAGCATATTTTAAAACATAGGAAAAGGCTTCGTTATTGCAACTGCTGGTAGCATATAAAAGAGAAATGTCATTTCTTTTGGTTGAACCTACCGAGGAACACAACAGTCAATTTTTGCAATTATTGTACGTTCTGCGTTTTAGAAATATCCCTTTCAGAAATTAAATTGTGAAAATCAAGAAATGATCTTGAACGAAATGTGTGCATACCCCTTTTATGTCTACTTTAGCCCTCTTGATACAAACGTCTTCTGTTGCATTCTCGTCTAACGTCCAATCTTTAAAAGGGTTTTGAAAGCTTCTGTCATCCATTCGCTGAATCAAATAGGAAACACATCTCTCTCACTAAAATTAAAACCAAACACGATCAATGTATAATAATCCGGAATTTATGTGAAATTGCATTAATATTAACCCTGACGTCTAATATAAATGCAACACCAACGATAGAGACATAAGACAAACACACGAGGAAAAACATTTAACTTATTATTTGTACAGTTTTTACTTCTTATCACTGAACCTGATATGCACCTACTTTTCGCCTCATCATTAACATATCTAAATATAGATTTTTTATTTACTTATTTTCGCGTCCATCGTGAAAGAGAAGATGGATTATTTAGAAAGCATTATCAAGTTAGGAATTTCTCCAGTTGAGAGTTTACAAGTTCTCACGTGCATGCTCGCAGGGATAAATGCCGGATGTAGTCTTTACGTAGCGGTGGTGGAAGCTCCAAGCCGAGTCAACCTGCCTTTGCATTCACACTGGGAACAATGGGTCACAAGCTTCAAGAAGGGGGCGAAACTTATAGTGAGTTTAGGTTTTGTCAAAGGTCAAGATATCCAAATATTTATTTTTACAATAGCTCCAAAACTATTTGAGGTATAAACTAAAAACTTTTACAGTTTGGAAATATAAATACAAATACAAATACAAATACTTTATTGGCACAAACACAATTACAATAATTGGCAAAGGCCCACTGAACAACATTAAATAATGTTTACATATTTTTTCAAGAATTGTCAAGTAATTGACTTCTAAGATCAAAACAGTCTCTGATAAATTTAACAGTAACTTTCAAGACTTTTTGTATACTACTGTTTATACATAATTGTAGCATATATTTCTCATTGCTAAGATTAATATTTTTCTTTGTTATGTTATAAATATTACTAAAGAATGTGTTTCTTAGCTTAGAGTAAGAATTACAGTGAAAAAGAAAATGTATTTCATCCTCAATCACACCAGTATTACAAACATTACAATATCTTTCATTTCTTGATGTGGAAATATATCTACCACTTTCTATTGCAAGTTTATGTGCGCTTAGTCTAATTTTACTAAGAGAGGATCTCTCAGATCTTTTTTTGAGTAAATCAACATAAGGACTTCTTTTTCCTGAGTATACTTTCTTGAAAAGATCAAGTTTTTCTGAACCAAAGATTTTTGATGTTTGCTCTTGAGTGCACTGATCTATGATTCTTTGTTTAATGTTTGGTAAAAGGTGTTGGATGGAACCTGTATATTTTGTAATGTTAGAGAATCCAAGATTATCAAGAATAGAAAATAATTTCTTAGTCCAAGAATTACAGTTAATTGTGGATTGGTAAAGTTTAAAGGCCAAAGAATCAGAAGTTTTCAGGTGATTCCAATATTTGATACTTGAGAGGGAAATTTTGGACCAAAGTGGTAGTCTTTTAAGTTCTGCTAAACAACCAGCATTGGATGTTTTGCAGTGCACTCCAAGGATGTCTTTAATGAATTTTAAGTGAAAATTTTCAACATTTGAAATATCTTTGGATGAGAGATCCACTCCCCATATTTCACTACAATAGAGAAGAACTGGAAGTACAATAGCATCAAAGAGTTTTTCTAAAAGTTTACATGGGTTATCAAATCCAATAATTCTTTTCATTTTAAAACATGCTTTTCTGGCCTTTTCAATAAGCACAGCTGTTGCTAAATTAAACTTCCTATTACATTTCATCATAATACCTAAATAACAGTATCTTGGTACAATTTGTATTGCATTACCATTAAAACTAAATTCATTTCCTTGAGGCTTGCCATTTGAGTTAAATATCATAACTTTAGATTTATCTACATTAACTTGGAGTTTCCAATTTGAGCAATAGTTACTGAGAATATCAAGACTGGTTTGTAAACCGCTTTTGCTTTCTGAGAAGATTACAATATCATCAGCATATAACAGACAATTTACATGCATATTGTTTACTTGTACAGGATCACAATTTCCATTTTTTAAGTCATGGACAATACCATCAATAAAAACATTAAAAAGTGTGGGGCTTAAGACATCCCCTTGTTTGACACCACACTCAGAATTGAATACATCACTTAATCCATCAGAAAATTTGATTCTACTCATTGTATTATCTTATATCTTATTGATTAACAGGTCATAGGCGTCGGACGCAAATTTAAAGGGGGGGGGGGGGGCTAAACCAACAAAAAAAGATAAACCCCGTTTCAATGCCTATATTATGTATATACGAGGGTTGTCCCGTAAAATCGTGGACAAGTTGTGTAGTTTGAAAAATAATCATCACTGCGTTCTGAAATTTTCACTACTTTTATGAATATACATAGCAAATTTCAAATAGATATATGCATAAATAAACAAATTATTAGATTTTATGTTATGTATTGTATCGCCCTACGGCGCACGGATGATATCGTCAAAGTGTCTGAAACAGCGCCATGTTTCATCTTTGCTAAAAATAAAGTTGGATAAGTCCAACTGAAATTTAGAAATTCCATTGATTCACATACGTGATTGTCTATTACCAGTTCAGGTACCAATCTGGCACATACATGCGATCTTCTAAAGATTTATTATAAAGTTACGGACAGTATTCTCACCATTAGTCAACTAACATACAATCTCATATCAACGGTCGACAGTGACAGCGTCTTTTTGCTATTACAATAGCAGTTTGTCCATATATTACCTGGCGACTCAATCAAAAAGACTTCTCTAGAAAACTTCCATTTCATTTATATACTAAAGATCTGGTGATTTTTGTCATGTTTTCTTTCTTCTGTATATTCATTTAAAGTCATTACAACCACAGGGGCCTGTAACATACTGTATCACTCTCTACCATCGGCTCATACATTCACCTCTGTCGTTGGCTCGCGTATATCACAGTGATAAACACGAGAAATAGTGCGTTTGTTTTAATTCATTATAATTCAATTTATATGTTTATTTCTGACTTTTCAGATAGATATTTACTAAATTAATCCAGAACGTTTGATTTAATTTGAAACAATCCTGCAAATATTACTTTTTATACGTTATGTCAAAAATCTTGACGTGAGCCCATTGCAGAGGTGTCTGAGAGAGGAACGAACGACAACTCTGCATAGGAGATTGATACTGTATTTGATTTTACGTAATCACTATAGTGATTACGTAAAATCATAAACAGTATGTTACCGGCCCCTGTGATTACAACATCCTAATCTAACTGAACTGCTCTCCGGTGCGCCGTAACGTCATCAATAACCGCGATTTTTCGTGTATTGTGTTAACCACTTTCCCATTTCGAATGCTCGGGAATCTTCCAAAAATAAACAAATGCCTTGAAATTTTTATAAATACGACAAAATTAATTAAGGAATCGAATTATAATAATTTTCATCCCTATCTTATGTATTGAAAACTTTTATTACGAATTAATTCTTGTGTATTCTCTAATATAACAAGGTTATTTTTACCGTGCGCCGTAGGACAGTACCCTGTGCACATTCAAGTGTAATAGAATCTTTATTTCTGTCTGTATATTATCAAAAACCTAAAGATGCACTTAAATATGATGAATAAACATTTACTGAAAGTTTCAGCTTTGTGCGCCCATTACTTTTCGAGAAAAGCGCTTTGTCCACGATTTTACGGGACAACCCTCGTATTTGCAAAAAAAAGTGGGGAGGGGGCTAAACCCTCTATATACCCCCCCCCCCACCCCCCGGTTTCGACGCCTATGCAGGTAGAAAAAAAATATAATTTGCATATTTTAAAAAAAATTACACCAGTCCTGTTTAATTCTGTACTTTTAGTGAAAACAATCACTGCAGATGTAATAATTGTTTATCATTTAAGGGCAAGTCCAACCAGCACTTCAGTTACAGATATTGTTTCTGCAATAATGGCTTTCTCTAAAAAGAATATAAGCATTTTTGAAAAGAAATTTTCCATCTTGACCTTTGGCAAAACCTTAAAAACCGAAAGTAACTTCATGAATTAAATACTAATAAATCAAATGTATAATTATTACTTAATTTTAATCCTAAATGATTATTAATAATAGAGCAAGCATCATTATGTGCATTTAAATTACATATTGTGAATCTGTGTTGTGTATGTGTTTAATTATAATTGAAGCTGCGGATCCAGGAATTTCATAACGGTGGGGTGCAGTAGAAGGCAGGGTGTCTGCATTGAACAGCTGATGAAGCCCCCAGTGGGTTTTTTTAGGGGAAGGGGGGCAAAGTCCCGGAAACTGAGGGATTTTAATAACAAGAGGCCCAGGGGCCACAGCGCTCACCTGAGCACATCAGGCTTGAATTTACTCCACCCCCCCCCCCCCCCCCCTCCAGGCGTTCATCATTTGAACAAACTTGAATCTACACTACCTGAGGATGATTCCATATAAATATCACTAATCATAGCTTTGAAGTACTTGAAAAGAAGATTTTAAAAGGTTTCCCTATATATCCCTATGTAAAACTTGGGTCGGCCATTTTGGCCCCACCCTAGCCCCGGGGGTCATGATTTGAACAAACTTGAATCTACACTACCTGAGGATGATTCCACATGAGTTTCATCTTTCCAGCTGGCCCAGTGGTTCTGGAGAAGAAGATTTTTAAAGATTTTTCCTATATATTCCTATGTAAAACTTGGGTCGGCCATTTTGGCCCCACCTTTGCCCCGGGGTCATGATTTGAACAAACTTGAATCTACACTACCTGAGGATGATTCCACATGAGTTTCATCTTTCCTGGCCCAGTGGTTCTGGAGAAGATGATTTTTAAAGATTTTTCCTATATATTCCTATGTAAAACTTGGGTCGGCCATTTTGGGACCACCCTTGCCCCAGGGGGTCATGATTTGAACAAACTTGAATCTACACTACCTGAGGATGATTCCACATGAGTTTCATCTTTCTTTGGCCAGTGGTTCTAGAGAAGAAGATTTTTAAAGATTTTTCGTATATATTCCTATGTAAAACTTGGGTCGGCCATTTTGGCCCCACCCTTGCCCCGGGGGTCATGATTTGAACAAACTTGAATCTACACTACCTGAGGATGCTTCCACATGAGTTTCATCTTTCCTGGCCCAGCGGTTCTGGAGAAGAAGATTTTTTAAAAATGCCATTAATTTTTAACAAATTCATGATTATCTCCCCTTGGAAAAGGGTGTGGCCCTTCATTTGAACAAACTTGAATCCCCTTCACCCAAGGATATTTTGTGCCAAGTTTGGTTGAAATTGGCCCAGTGGTTCTTGAGAAGAAGATGAAAATGTGAAAAGTTTACAACGACGACGACGACAACAACAACAACGACAGACGACGAACAAATTTTGATCAGAAAAGCTCTCTTGAGCCTTCGGCTCAGGTGAGCTAAAAATGAGGCGTTCCCTTTTTTTGAGGATGACACCATCAATACAAACAAAATTAAAAAAAAAAAATCAGTGGGGGGGGGGGGGCCCGCGCGGTGCGCCGGTGCTAGATCCGCCTGTAAATTGCTCGTAAGGTAAGGTAAGGAGGCTGCACGTGTTTGGGTATAACCCGCCACAACATCTCCAATAAGTTTGTTCGTTGTTCGTTGAGAGGAGGACAAATATCATAGTCATTCAATAGCCACTCACCCACTGTGAGAAATAGACCTAAGTAAAAGTTACATTTCGCGATAATCTGAGGGATGTATCATCCTTTGTCCACCGAACACAAAATCGTAACTTTTGATAAGCGATCAGATTAATTAATATTTGTGCCCTATTTTTCCGTAAAGTGTTCATGATAGATAAGACTATAGTGTTCACGAGAGATACACAATTATATAATAATGGTATAAGGCGCGGATCAAGGAATTGAAGTTGGAGGAGGGGAGCCAAAAGAAGGCAGGGGGTATGGTGTCGCCTTGAGGCCCCCAGTGGGTCCAGGGCGAAGGCCTGGTGGGACCAGGGGGCGAAGTAAAAAATATATTTACTGTACATAACACCCTTTTTATATACAGTAAATATGACATTTTTAAAACGTGCTATAATTTCAGCAATTTTTTATCTTTATTTCAATGAGGGTATTCAGACACACCTAGAAAAACACATAATACACAAAATACACCATCCTGAAAATACACCACCCTGAAACCAAGCGCCCATGATACATATAGAAGAATGCGATATTATCATGTTTGTTAATGTACTCAGTACTGTAGTTGTTTTAATATTGCATTGATTTACAATAAGAATATGTAAAATATGATTTAATGGCCCAAAAGTAAAGAAAGAGTACATTTTTAATTTGATTGTCAATTCAAAATAAATCGTAATAATATTTTGCAGCCCGCTCTATTACTGAGTATGGTCGCGACTTCCGGAGCTGTCTATTATCTCAGTCCGCCCTCGCCGGTCCGGAACTTGTGGTTAGTCCCAGTTGGCGCATGCGCCTTCTCGTTCCTCTACACAGTTATTGTCATGGGCCCGGAGATAAAAGTGTTATTAGAGAATGACGTCATCTCAAAGAAAGGTATAGTGACTCTCAGTACCAGTGATATCGCATGAATTATACTCATTTTCTTGTCAGATGAACTGTCAGTGATATTTTATGATAGCTACGGTCTGTCAAAATATTTTTTTTGGAGAGCTACAGTTCTGCAGCAAATTTCTTTTTTATCCATCTGCAAATAATTTTACGTTTTTTTAATATCCTTTTTATCCTGAAGGGGAGGGGGCACATAATCCCTGAATAGTTAAGCGCATATTAAAACTTAAGATTATTTTACATTTATGTTGGCATCTTCCATGAATTTACAGGCAATGACTGGGTCAAACAGGCGACTTCCCGATGGATCAGACGTCACTACATCCGAGTCGTGATTATCTTGATCACGTTCGTGGTGACCCTCTACGCAGCCGTAAAGTCCTAAGATTTTATCAACAGGAAGTCTGAATTTTCCATGACGAAATTTAAAAAGTAAAAAGCTAAAATTTGTGCCTTCATGTGTAAACTGAGTTTATTAATTTTATATAATTTATGCGTGTGATTTACATGTAATGCATATCATACATATAATATGTACTTTGCTGCTATTATTTTCTGATAACTTCTCGTTATTATTCGTATAAATTACATGTATAACATAATACATTTGATTGCATAATATCAAATATATTTACGTATTACATTATAATTTTTAGGAGCTTTTATTTTCGCCCCCTTTTATTTTCGCCCTACTCACAGGAGGGCGAAAATAAAACGGGGCGAATGTAAGAAACACAGTATGATTTCTTAAAAAGAATCGAAATTGGGCGAATATAAAACGGGGCAAAATATTTTCTAAGTGTGAAAGGGCGAAAATAACACGGGGCGAAAATAACCCTGTATACAGCATGCATGTTGTATGATTTATATCAATTTTAAAATTTGAGAAGATGAGTGAGTTTTGCCGCGTGTATACTTGTACATAATAATTTAAAAAATCAATAAAATTAATGTTTTTCCCTCATATTTTCATATTTATTGATTGAATAGGTGTTAAGTATTAATTATTACCATATAAGCATTGCAAAAAGACCATATTTAAAAACGTTTTCTGCGAAATTAATTACATGTCAAAACGAACAAAATGGCAACACACTCATTTAGTCTCACGCATGCTCCAAAGGATGGAAGTCCTACGCTTTGTCCGACCTAGATATATCCTGTGTTAATCCTCCGACAATGGTTCACCTATACCGATCAGTGGTGTTACCATCGGGTGTGAAACCTGGAAGCACATGACTAACAGACTAAAGAAGACGTAACACGTCTTAATACTTTCCAACAAGGAATCTGAAAGCAGATCTTTAACACCGTGAAAAGGGACACACGTGGGATTTCGGTTAAATACAAAATAGTCTTGAATACCAAAATCTATGTTTATATACCAGCTACTGATTAATAATTATTTGCAGGAATACCTCATGGTTTGATGACTGCAAACAATTTTAAATTGACTCCAATTTCCTCTTTGCTAATCTAGATATTTGTTGAGCAAATTTTGAAAAGTACATTAAAGAATGACTATGTATTGATTAGGTTGATGGAATTATTGTCGAATTAAAAACTATTTCAATTGGTGTGTAAAATGTTAGCCAAAACATTACTCAATATATATATATTTCCTTACAAATTCACTATACCGTTCAACAAACGATGACCCCAGACTGAAGTTGTCAAAAACCTTGCAGTATCAACTTAAACTGATTTTACTACAGTACCTGTTTACACCAGCAGCTAAATCTAAGCTGTAATGGAATTGAGGCTTTTGCAGATTTTATCACAACTAGGCAAAACTGAAAACAATGGCATCCTTTTATTTTCCACTTATTCTCAAAATATATTGTTTAAGTGCATGCCTTTGCTGTCAGACTTCCAGGCCATGACTTCGATTTGATTACGACCAATTTTTAAACTTAGTTAATCTTCTGACAAATAAGTTGATTTTACATGGATTCAACCACATTTAAAAAGTCAGTTTTTTGCTAGAGGAACGAGTGACTGCTAGCTAGATCTGCATGGGAGATTGTATGATTAGTATCCGAATCAATTGATATCCACAGTCTATGCAATATTTCATCGGTTTTTTACGCTTTCTACCGATATTTCGGTAAAAACCGGTAATTTCGGCGTTTTGAGTCACCCCACTCTCTACCATCGACTCGTACATTCAGAGAGGAACGAACGACAACTCTGCATAGGAGATTGGAGTCACCCATCCACTGAATCTCTTAGGAAACGAATCTCTCCCACTTAAATTAAACCTAAACACGATCAATTTATAAAAAATCCGGATTTAGTGTGAAATGTGCATTAACCTTGACGTCTTATTTAAAGGCAACAACAAGGGGGGAGATATGACGTATATACGAGGACACATTTATATAGTTTCTTATTATATGTGCAATTTTTTTAATCATAGGATCTGATATGCACCCCTCTTCCGCCTCATCATTTACATAAATGAATATATCTAAATATAGATTTTTATTTACCATCGTGCAAGCGAAAATGGACTTTTTAGAAAGCCTAATCAAGTTAGGAATTTCTCCTGTTGATGGTTTACAAGTTCTCACGTGCATGTTTGCGGGGATAGTTGCCGGCTCTAATCTGTACGTGGTGGTAGTGGAAGCTCCAAGCCGAGTCAACCTGCCTTTGCATTCTCACTGGGAACAATGGGCAACCAGCTTCAAGAGGGGGGTGAAATTTATAGTGAGTTAAACATGTTAAAACCAAGAGTAACTTCATGAATTAAATATTAATAAATCAAATGTATAACTATTACTTTTAAACATTAATTAATTATTAATTATTAATAAAGCAAGTGCATGACGTGGGTATATAGACTGATTTCAGGCCAGTTTAATACTTATAAGATGCCGACAAAGAATTCAAACGGGGGGGGGGGGCTAGATCCGCAATGAAGGGCAAGTTGAACGTGATTGGTCTCAAAGGCTGTAATTGAAAGCATGGCATGCGTAAGGACAACACCCCTATAAAATCTGCCATTTGCAATGCACTTTCGGTTTCATTCATAACATTTGGACAAAAAAAAAAGCTATTGTAAAAATAAATTTTGACATACTGAACTTTGATGAAACCTTAATGCAATTTGAAACGAACGCAACAATCATATGGTATATTCTTTTTCTTTGTTAGTCAAGAAACTATATTTGGGAGGAGTGAAACAAGGGGAAAAATAAATTCATTTCTTTACGTTTTTACTTCAGTATTCTCCGTGACTTTCCGTATCTATAAAGAAACTGTTTTTTCATACACGAGCGCTTAAATAGATCTCAAAGTGAACTGAATACATGTGTGGAGCCTTTCTGAGGTAGTATAGATTCTAAATTATTCAAATCATTAACCTACGGGGGTAAGATGGGGCCACAATAAGTATAAGTAGGGAGAAATCCGATGAAGAAAGAGCTAGAGAGCCATTGTAAATCAGGTGAGCTTTTGCCACATGGGCCTCTTGTTTGAAGAAATCAATTTCTTCTTTTTCTCTGATAAAAAAAATCTTTTAAAATAATTGAGAGCTATCATTGACCGTTCGATGCTGAAACCATAATTTATAAGGTATTTCTTAAAGATCTATTAAATACAATTTTAAATGTAAAAGTTTTGATGTGACATTCTTCAGTTGATGTTATACGACTCGATTGATTTAGCTCCTATATAAAGCAATACATGTAAAAAAAAAATGGATTTGATACTATCATGTTTATTTACTACATGTAAGACTTACATCTATAATTACTACTTTTTATTAAAATTTATTCTAATCAAACAGCGTTTTTCAATGTTTTAAAGTGGCATTGATTTACAATTAGAATATACATATGAAATACCTGTATGATTTAATTGACTTAAAATGTAAAAGTAAACAATGAAAAGTACACTTAACGCTTAATTTAATTGTTAATTTAGAAAAAATAAATATTTTGCAGCCCGTACTAATGTGGAGTATGACCGCAACTTCCGGAGCTGTCTATTATCTCAGTCCGTCCTCGCCGGTCCGGAACTTGTGGTTAGTCCCAGTTGGCGCATGCGTCTTGTTGTTCTTCTACACAGTTATTGTCATAGGTCCGGAGCAAAAAATCTTACTAGAAAATGACGTCATCTCAAAGAAAGGTATAGTGACTCTCAGTACCAATTTTACATTGTATCGCATGCATACTCATTTTCTTGTCATATGAACTGTCAATGATATTTATACAGCTCAACGCACTTTTTAAGCTCACATGGTTTTTCGCACAAATTAAGGTCACATTGTTGGAATAAAAATTACCATTTTCGAACTGCAGTACAATGACATAACCCTACGTTATATTACATATATAATGTTCAAGCATAGATGTCTTTTAAAATTATCTTAAGATTCCAAAGTGGATGCTTTAAGGGGAATTTATATATAAATGGTACGATGTTTCGACTATACGATTCTACTATAGGTTCTTAACAGTTATATACAAAACGAGCTTTCTTTGATACCATGTGGATGAAATTTTTTAATTTTCCTCTAAAAGGTAAGTAGTTTTTAAAATTCTTTGTTCATTTACCATACTTCTCTTGGTTTTGTCGAAATGTAGCGCCGAAAAGGGATAACATTGCAAAAGGAAACCACGCTAAAGGGAAGGATAATGAAGTATTGTTTATTTTTTTTTAAATAGTAAATTCCTTCTATGAATTCCTTCTATGAAAAAGAAAAAAAACCTCTGCATTTACGGTTTGAAAGGTTAGAATTTTGCAGTTGGATGAATCTCTCATGAGTCCAGATTTTAGAACTTGACTTTGAAAATCCCACCTTATTAACATGCAAAGCAGTCAAAGAGAAGAAAAATACTGTTATCTCCCCGAGTTAAAGAGACAAAATGTACAGCAAATACAAGTTGCAGTAGCTAAACTGAGTCCATGTCTAAGTTTTTGCAAAGAGCTAATGCTTTCAAAAGGACGGATAAAAAGACATTTGCAATTGGCAAGAAACCATAAAAATTCAAATGAGAGTAGTTATTTTTCAGCCATGAAAATATCAAAGTTCTAAACTGTACCAGTTGATATGTGTGAATTAGGTTTTAGTAAATGAAACACCATTGGTATAACTCAAATAATGTAAACAAATAATTTTAAAATGTATTTTGATGCCTCGATACACAATATTACATCATAACAATGTGACCTTAATTTGTGCGAAAAACCATGTGAACTTTAAAAAGTGCGTTGAGCTGTAATATATTGTAATTAGCTCTTTGGGCCTTCAGCTCAGTTGAGCTAAACTACTAAAAACAAAGTAAAAATCCTATTGACTTTCAGGTCAAATGCAGAAAGGTTCAGATAACTTCTTTTTAGCTGCAAAACTGTAGTTCTCCGAAAAAAAAAATTTTGACTGACCGGTCTGTCAAAATATTTTTTATGAGAGCTATAGTTCTGCATATACGGTCTGTCAATATATTTTTCGGAGAGCTACAGTTCTGTAGCTAACTTAAAATACTTTTATATCCATCTGCAATTAATTTTACCCGTTCTTTTATCCTATTTTTTCCTGAAAGGGGGGGGGGGACATTCCCTGAATAATTAAGCGCATATTCAAAGATTATTTTACAATATTTACATTTCCAAATACTTTTTTAAAGATATTTTTGCAAATAGCAAGACTGTTTATTTTCTCGTGAACTACAATTGGTGAGCATGGATATCTCCATTGTTACGTTATAATACCGCACTTGGCGTCAAAACTGTAGCGCAAAACTGTTTTGCTTTAAAAATGACAGTTGAACGGAATAAATTTTGTGGCAACTCAACAGCTAAATTGTGTAAATATTAGAAATGAATTTAATTTTTTAGGACTCATGAGGTATATGAACTACAACGCTTTACGTCGGCTACACCGGTATTTATTATGAAGCGCTAACGCGCGTCATGAAAGATGCTGGTCATAAAGTGTCGTAGTTCATAACCTCATGAATCTTAAAAAAAATATTCATTTCTTAATTAACGTTGGCATCCCTCCTGAATTTACAGGCATTGATTGGGTCAAACAGGCGACTTCCCGATGGATCAGACGTCATTACATCCGGGTCGTGGTAATCTTGATCACGTTCGTGGTGACCCTCTACGCAGCCGTAAAGTCCTAATATTTTATCAACAGGAGGTCTGAATTTCCACAGATAAATTTCAAAAGTGGAAACCTAGAATTTGTGCCTTTATAATCATATGCAAACTGAATTTATTAATCTTATACAAATTATGCTTGTTATTTACTTGTAATGCATATCAAACATATGTACTTTTTCTGATAACTTCTATTTACTGTACGTATATTACATGTATTACTTACATTTGATTGCATAGTATCATGTTTCAAAAATTACATTTTACATTTTTAGAAGCTTCTATATAATTATGCATATTGTATGATTTATACTAAATAAATGATGTAAAAAAAAAATCAATTATTTTTTTTTTCTCTCAAATCATATTTATTGAATTTTAAGTATTAATGATTACCATAGATACATTGCAAGATGGAGCATAATTAAAAACGATTTCTACAAAATTGATAAGAATAACAAACAAAATGGCAACACACTCATATAGCACAAAAAGTGACATAAATTGGATGCTGTAACAACTTTTTCAAAGAGTTGGTATTAGCTACATTTTTTTGTGACTGAATTTTGAAAAAAAAAAACATTGGATAGGAGGGATGCTTCTTAACATTACAAAAATTTGGCATCAAGGGTCGAAGGCCTACAGTTAACTGTACATTGTATTCAAAAACTACCAGTGCAGTGTATATAGTTTAATTCTTTCACCACGATCTTTACAGTTCAAATAAAACTAACTACGGATAAAATGATTATAATTGCATGGAGTAAAGGTAAACGGGGAGCTGTTTGAATGGACATTTACTGCGGAGAGTAGTCGAATCATTTTGTGATTTTTAGAAGAACTACACGCTTAGTTTGGACTTTCAGTAAGGCGTGGCATTCTCGACGTTGCCTATTTAGCTTCTGAAATTTACAAAGCTTCCCTTCACTGTTGAAATATACATATGATAGAAATGCGGCCGAATGTCAACTGGTGTAGTGAATAGCCAATTAAAAGTTCTCTCGCGGCAAAGAGGTGGGAAATAAGTCATTATCAACAACAATTTTAAGTTCCTATGTTATTAATTTCGTAACCAATGAGAATCTACTAGTATTCGCCATTACGTAGCGCTGAGAAAGTCACGCCCTACTGAAAGTCCAAAGATAGGGTAAAATCATCCTATGTAACAATCATTAGCAGACACCACATTTACGATAAATATTCTATTCTTGAGACCCGAAGAAAAGTTTATCAATAATTATAAATGATTGCAATTCACAAGACGGTCTTCAAATTCCTGATTTTATTTTGCTTCCTCATCAAGGAACAATCATGGGATGTACGCATATGAACAATGTAACACTATTTGGCCACAAGCAGAAAATAGGTTACACTGGCGACTATAAATTGAACTGCTGATAAGATAAAACAGGTCATATCGAACACTCTTCCCACGTCTGTCCAGCTGACGTCATAATCGTCAGTCATCTCACTCTTCGTTTGGAGATTTTCCACGACGTCAATTTCCGTTCTTTTCTTTCGAAAACATATTACTAGTCGAGCTAGACATCGAGGGACAGGCTTCTCATGGGGACATGATTGAATCCGGGAACTTATGATGACGAAGACAACTACAAGAGCCCCGCTCACCACATACGTCACTAGCATGTAACTTAATATGGATACGTTCGGTTCGGATACTGCTGGTAACATATCCTGGATGATCGTTAGATAAACAACTATGGATAACAGAACCGTGGTGGAAAAACCCAGCCTTTCACCTGAATCGTTCGGCAGAAGAAAAACGAATCCCATTAAAAGCGAGAATGCTGATATTGGTAAAATCAAGCTAACTATGTAATAAGCTGTTCTTCTTTTTAGATGCAATACTACAAAAATGTCCTCAAGTCCATAAATGTTTAACACTGAGTACGTTTCGGAATTCAAGATCTCCCATATTCCATTTTCGGAATATAAGTCGAAATCGACGCGCGGTGATGTGAATTTAACATTTACAGCATTAGGCTGATAACCAAAAATGAAGAACTTCATAAAACATTTCTGGGTATCAAAAGGAAAATTTGTGACATCAGCATCACATATTACTTTGTATGCTTGCAAAGGAAACCAGGTACATTTTCCTGTGTAAAACACATCAACTGTAAGCAGGTCACTGCCTAGTCCCCGAATATCTTCATAAGGATTGGTGTTGATAAAATTAGGTAGCCATAGCTTTGTCTGTGGAATCGCAGTCATTTCTAATGCGTTATACGTGGCTGGATTCCAAGCAAATCTCTCCTCAAACCAACTTATGGCGAAGACACCAGTGAGGGATAATTTCCCTGCATTTAAATCGAATTCGTTGATAGATAACAAAAGGAAGGAAGCGTTTATGACCAGAGTGTCACTTCTATCCGTGCCGGGTCGTATGTCCTTGTTGTACCCCGTCAGGAGAGCAGTGTGTAAATTCTGTTCATCAGTTAACGTATATCCACACACGAAGGTTAAAAAACAGTGGTTAAAGAGTAGAAACCAAAGGACGCGTTCCATTTATATGCTGCCCCAACCACAGATTTATAATGAGGAGACTGTTTTTCTTGAAAACTATGCCTGCTGATCCTCTTATGCTCTGTCTGTTTGTCTATCTGTATCGACGCTAGATTAAATATAGCGATCTTGGCTTGAACCCTGAAACATTTGTTTCCATAAAAAGGATCAAAGCCTTTTAATCTATGGATTTATGCATGAAACTTTTTGAACTTTTAAGTATCTACATGAGCTGCTTTTTAAACTTTCATAGACTTGAAATTGAATATTTCTTAATTACCGATTGCATGTGTTTAATAAGTTGGAGAAATTCGTTTCTGCAATACTGCAGTGATTACTTATGTATAACTAATCCATGATCTGGCTTATAAATTTTACGTCCACCTTTTATAATTAGTGCATATGTACCGATATCATTGCAATTGATTGGAACGAACGGCGTTTTGATTAATTTGACAAGCACTTATAATTTTTTTTTTTTTTTTTTTGAAAATTCATTTTTATCTTTTTGATATTCTTTTCATATTTTTTACTTTCTTTTGGAGTATTAGACAACACTTGAATTGATGAGAAATAGACAAATTTATGCATATGAAATTGATTAATTTAAAAGATTTCTTGACAATTTCTCTTTCCAAATATGAGTCTCAATGCTAGATGTAAATCACGCATGTATCTTTAAATAAAGACATTTACGTTAGTCGTATATTTACTTCTCTTTAAAAAAATGTTCGATTTCATATCTAATCTGTCCCATGTATTTGATGAAATGAAATAGTACCCTTGTAATTAATTCAAGTGTTATTAACATTTAAAAGGCCTAGATTATTTAATTACTTAAAGGTGTAAGGAGATGGGTGAACATAACGAGCTACGAGCTATACGCCTATAGCGCAACAAACATGAAGGTGAAAAATTAAATCTCAATTGTATCAAAAATTTCCTTAATATTTCATCTAACATTAAAGTAGAAGAGCAAAGAATTTTTGCAAAACCACAAAAAACAGTTTCATATGCCATTCTTAAAAATGAGTGGTCTTGTTGTTCAAATTCTTATTCGGAAAGGCAGTTCAACTTCTGGAGGAGTCTAGAGAGCAACTTTTTTGAAGAAAAAAAAGTGGAAACTACTACTGAAGTTTATGAGAGGAAGGAACTAGAATCAGGAATCTACTACATTAAATTTCTTCATTACAGCGTCCAAACCAACACGCAATGAAGAGTAAAGGAGTTTAGGGGATAAACGGAAAGTTACTGTTTTGTCGCACCAACAATATTCGCCAGGTCTTTCGATCACCCTTTGACTTGTTTCATTTTCCAAACATGAAAAAAACACCTTTCAGAACTTAAGAATTAAGAAGAAACATCATAAGATCCGCGATTAAATCAAATAATTTTTGAATTATACAAGTACCTGTTGTTCGTGAGTATCGGATTTCGAGCAGCAGCAGCTTTAAAAATCTGTACATAACGTTAAAAGTTCATTTCTATCGGGTTCGGAATGCTAGAAATATCGAGAACAAAGGCAATCGATTTTTTGGTGCTGAAGCTGGATAACACGCAATGAAATGTTTTTATGGAGAAATGGGGAGCTGTGATGGACTCTCTAAAATATCTGGCGTTGTGTTAGTGCTGTTGGTCTTATTTAGTGAGGTATGATAAATGTCAACAGTTAATTTCCACCTTATGCTGCTGGCAGGCTGTCTGATATTCTCTCTCCGAGTCTCCCTCCTTCCCCCTCTCCCTTTCTCTCTCTCCCCCCTTTTCTCTTAAATTTTATTGTTAGATAATGCTTGAGAAAAAGTTCAAAATGATATCTTCTGTTCAATATGAATATTTCAAAGGTGCATGTAAATGATGAATATGGTGTAAACATGGTAAGTATGTGTATATTTTTTTTAATTAAAAGAAAAATAAGTAACGTCAGGTGCCTGTGATTGGTATAGAAGAGAAAAAAGGTACCTATTTAATTAAGGTCCCTGGAGAAATTACAACAATAGGCTTACTTAGTAAATTTTTTTCACTCAGTATGGAAAGTAAGTATGTTACTGAATATCGGTGAGGTCATGTTTCCTAATTTTTAAAGAAAAATTATATTTTCTCTCACTTTGTCCAATTAATATGACATTAAATAATTAAGTGCTTAATAATCAACAAACATATATGTCGTAAACACGATGCTGCTCGCTAGCTCTTCATTTTCTATATACACAACATTTTCAAGATTCAGTATAATGATTCTAATACTTTCTATCTATATCAAATATATCAAACAAATACTATAAACTGCACAGTTTGATTCAAAATATGTATGTACATGCCAAATCAAAGTATCCCATGGAAGATTCCATATGTGTATCACCCATTTTTTCACAATTAAAATATTCTTATTGTCATCTCCCTCGGGAGATGACATATTAAGATTGTATGCCGGAAGTGAAGTCCTAGTGTAAGCCTCCATTAATCTTTCGGGAGTCCTCGATGTTTTACAGAGTTCCAAGTAGCCTGTAAACTGGTTTTCTTTTAGAAGAACTAGCTTAGGAGTGTGCTATCTACTTTCGGTTTAGGCCTATTTGAAAGCCAAGGAAAATTTAGAAAAGAAGTACGATGCTCATAAATATCTATAGTTTCGGTGTGTCGTATACATGTATGTATTGATCCTCAATACTATGCCTTATTAAATTGGTAAGCCACACATGGAGAATTGACAATGACGTGATTTCTATATATAGATTTGTTGACGCGAAGGGAAAAACTGGTTCTCGCACAAAAGAACAAGCTTACAATTAGATTCTGCAAAAAAATGTATGAAGAGTGGTCAACGCTAATTTTATGTTATTTTTTTAGTCTGTAATTGGATTTATTAAATTAATTCCTGTCAAACTTTAATGATTAGCTGCTTTTAAATGAAGGATAATTATTGTTGATAATTCCGTATTGTGTTAAGAAAATATAGTTCAAGGAAAGTATTTGAATTTAAGTAAATTGTAAACACCCAGAAGCACAAAGACCGCTAGAATGAAATTTCACCAAAAATCGCCTTGGGTGCTCTCGCAGACGTCCATGCTTTCCATATATGTACTGCGGCTAAAAGAAACTGCGTACTTTACTGTGGAGTTTGCTGAATAAGTCATTTGGGAACTTCAGGTGTAATAATCTATATATTCATTGCATTAAAATATTTCCCTTTCTGTATTTCTTATTGACATTATGACATTATGACATTATTGATACCAAAGAGATGACATTTCAGGCTTTCTGGAAAGCCAAACTTGTATTCTTGATAAAATTGATATTCCAGGAACCAAGCTAGTTAGAATAACCAACAACCATGTGATCTGCTATTTATTTCAACAAATCATGTGACCCTAGATTCTCTATGGCCACACATAATAATAAATATTTACCTTGCACATTTTCAGTGTACATGTTTTGCTGCTTGGGTGTCATTGAATTTTGGGTAGGGGGGTGTGGGTGTGACAAGAATGTCTAGATTTTTATTTAAAAATATGCTTTAATTAATACTTCCCCTCGATACTATGAAAATTATTATATATATTAGCCCGTATGGTCTTCTTGGCAATTTTCAAAAGTTTTCAATTCAATTATTTATTTTATCAAATTAAAATGATCTGATTTGAAAAACAAGAAATATGTGTATTTTGTATTCTTAATGGTCTAAAATGTTATTTAATTCATTACAGTTACCTTGGGCTTGAAAGGAAGTTTTTAGCGTATAACGTTAGTTCTCTTTTGGAAATGTCATATGAAAAGAAACGCTAAAAGAATCTTTTCAGCTTTTGTGTAAGGAATACTGTAAATCATTTTAATTCCAAGGTGATAAAATTTCATGATTTCTCAAAATGTACCATTCGCGTTTGTTTCACGCTGCAGGAAATATTAATTAATTTTAAGTTTCTTAAAAGCATATTAACATCTTTAAAAACTAATAACAGCATTCACGATGGGTTTAATTTCGCGAAGAAATGATAAATCGCGAACATAGCGAAATTAAAACCATTGTGATTATTTGCCAATCTTTAGTATTTTAAAATGGTTGTTTTTTATTGGTATCTTGAGAAAAAAAAAAGAGCTTTCCTGCTGTTTTTCATTATCTGCAGAATACAATGACCTTTATTTTATGAAATATGATATGACTATTGGGGAAAAAATCCAAAAACGTATTATTTATGGTGTTATAAAATGGCAGTTCGTATGTACATTCCCCTACATCACTGTACACAGAATTATATCATAGCTGTGAGAGACTTACATTATTCTTATAAAGTTATTTTTATTGCATCATGTGTGCACGAGGAAAAGAAAATTATTTCAGTACTTAATATACATTACAATTATGGACTCTTTCAGTGATGACTGGTGTATATGATCCATATAATCAAAAAAAAAAAAAAATTAAGATATCTTTAAGATATCATTTTCAAACTAATTATTCTTTATTACAGGTTTCTGGTATAATTTGTCCCAAAACGGGAGAAAGGTGAGTAAATTTTGTGTCAAACATGTTTTGAGTGAATATGACAAATGAGTAACAATTAATAAATTGAAAGTAATAAGTTTTTAATCAATTATTGTAAACCAATGATTATTCGCGTCATCTTTTATTCCATCTTCGCTAGCCAAGGGTTTCTGATACGCTCCTCTCCTCATAAACCCTTGGCCTACGGTGTTCATAGAAATCGGGATTTTTTTCCAGAGTTCTGATTGGATTTCAGTACTCCCAGGTCGACCAATCACCAATTGTTTTTTGTAAATGACGATATTTGCGTTCAGGATACATCTTCACTCTTTAATCTCGGAAATGAAAAATGCAAGTAAACAACGATCCGTAAGATAACATTCAATTCTATGAATAGCCATGGTGTCATCCAATATCTTCTAAATATGTGATTAAGAATCTATATTGAAGCTTCAGATTTGTTCTATAAATAATGAATAAACATAACTCAATTATTGCTTCTTAATTATTCTTGAAAAAAACTTTAATTTAATTTTTTTTAACAAGTGTCTTTATTTCTGGCGATGACGCAATCTGTGGGTACCTGATAGATTCGGGATCACGTGACGGAAAACAATCCTGTCTTTTGACTTCACCATATGCCAAGGGTTTATGAGGAGAGTAGCGTATCAGAAACCCTTAACTAGCGAAGATGCTTTTATTCGTGATTTGTCAGTCTGAAATCAATCGTTGACAATTTGTTTTCGTGACTGAGGAAATATTGTCTACCAATATAAAGCAAAATATATGGTTCACGGCAATGAATATTCGCAAATTAAAGTAGATAGCAAAACTCGCGGATATTTCTTGCACGCGAATAAAAGTTGGTTTACAGTAATTAAATAGTATTCTGGTCAGTATGTTGCATTAGCACAGAGATACCTAAGGCTAAATGAATTACATTTGCTTTGTATTCATTAAGCCTATTTTGGGTTGAAAGCAGCTTCTAGCTACTAAATCAAGTACATTGCTAAATACAGACATCAATGTCTACCACATTCAGTCATGTGCTAAATCCAATCTTTGCCAACTTGTTGAGCATGATAAAGTATCAAATTATGTCTAAATATCCTACAAGCTTATATATAAAGGTACATTTACAGTATATTGATTCATTAGATTATGATTTTCTACAATAATAAGTTTGATTTTTTTTCTATCTTTGGTGATACTTTTTCAAGATTTATTTTGCCTTTTTAGCTCACCTGAGCCGAAGGCTCAAGTGAGCTTTTCTGATCGAAATTTGTCCGTTGTCTGTTGTCGTCGTAGTTGTAGTTGTTGTTGTCGTCGTAAACTTTTCACATTTTCATCTTCTTCTCAAGAACCACTGGGCCAATTTCAACCAAACTTGCTACAAAGTATCCTTGGGTAAAGGGGATTCAAGTTTGTTCAAAAGAAGGGCCACGCCCTTTTCCAAGGGGAGATAATTATGAAATTAAGAAAAATTAATGGAATTTTTAAAAAATCTTCTTCTCAAGAACCACTGGGCCAGGAAAGATGAAACTCATGTGGAATCATTCTCAGATACTGTAGATTCAAGTTTGTTCAAATCATGACCCCCGGGGGTAGGGTGGGGCCAAAATGGCCGATCAAAGTTTTACATAGGAAAAATATAGGAAAAATCTTCTTCTCAAGAACCACAGGGCCAGGAAAGATGAAACTCATGTGAAATCATCCTCAGATAGTGTAGATTCAAATTTGTTCAAATCATGACCCCTGGAGGTAGAGTGGGGCCAATATGGTCGATCAAAGTTTTACATAGGAATATACAGGAAAAATCTTCAAAGATCTTCTGCTCAAGAACCATTGAGACAGGAAAGATGAAACTCATGTGAAATTATCCTCAGGTAGTGTAGATTCAAGTTTGTTCAAATCATGACCCCTGGGTGTAGGGTGAGGCCAAAATGGCCGACCAAATATTTTCATAGGAATACATTGGAAAACCTTTTAAAATCTTCTTTCCATGTACTTCAAAGCCATGATTAGTAATATTTATGTAGAATTATCCTCAGGTAGTGTAGATTCTAGTTCTTCCAAATCATGATATGTGCTTTTTTTCTAGCTTATGTTCTCAGGTGAGCGCTGTGGCCCCTGGGCCTCTTGTTAGTTTTATAATAATATTTTTTAACGTATACTCTCTTTAGTGAAGGATAGTTCTGTTTTGCACAAAAAACTGTGGGATTTTTCTTATTAATTCCATCATATATGCCTAGAAATAAGAATTCCTGTTGTTTTTGTGATGCTTAACATAGTTTGTTCCTACTACATGTATTATAACAAAGGCAGATGTTTTGTTGGTAATCTGAGAGGTCTATTACCTTCTGAATCAGTTGTGAGTCATGCTGTGAGGGTAGTTAATCTGTCAGTTATTTCAGTACTTTCTTTCCTTCAGCTGTGAGTCGTGCTGTGAGGGTAGGTGTCGTGTCAGTATTTTGAGGGTTGGTGCTGTGTCAGTAATTTAAGTGCTTCTTTCCTTCAGCTGTGAGTCGTTCTGTGATGGTAGGTGCTGTGTCAGTTATTTCAGTACTTTCTTTCCTTCAGTTGTGAGTCGTGCTGTGAGGGTTGGTGCTGTGTCAGTTATTTCAGTACTTTCTTTCCTTCAGTTGTGAGTCGTGCTGTGAGGGTAGGTGCCATGTCAGTATTTTGAGGGTTGGTGCTGTGTCAGTAATTTAAGTGCTTTTATCCTTCAGCTGTGAGTCGTGCTGTGAGGGTTGGTGCTGTCCCCTGCGAGGTGAAATTCATAATTTCAGGAACTTTTATGAATCGTTCATGAACATTCATGATGTGTTCATGAACGGTTCATGACTGGTTCATAAAGATGGTTCATGAACTTTATTCATGAATATATTCATAAAATGTAGTTCATGAACAAATGATGAATTTATATGAATATTGGTAATTTTCATTTTAAAGACAGAAAAAATGTAGAGTTCAAGGTATTGTGAATGTTCATGAATTTTCATGAAGACTAAAATAATTGACAAAAATGATTGACAGAAAACACTCATTACTCTCATAATGCAACTTTTGCATGCAGATGCAATTGTTGAACAAGCCCCTGGCATAATTTATATTTAATAACATTCTTTCACCAACTATCTGAAAAAATAAATCATGAAATCTCTAAACATTTCGTGTTTTTCTTTAATTTTAATTAAACAAACACTGCATCACCACTGACAGCATTTTTTTCAAATTGATTATTTATGTTTCTTCATAATTTAAATTAAACAGTTATATTCATCATAATGTGCTTTAAATAATGTCATTTTTCATCACACAACTTTTTTCGACCGAATTTTCTCTAACATCAAACTTTAAGCAAGTTGCAAAATAAAAAATTCACAGTTTCTTTTACAATGTTTTTTGAGACAAATATAAAAGCATATACCACTCAGATGTACAATATAAGCACACTTTTTAAAATGTATGTATTCTCAATGAAACTGCAAAGTATTTTACATCAAAGGTTATTAACAGATATATCCAAGAAAAAATAAGATTACTGGGGGATCACCTTGGTTAAATTAATGATAATCAAGTTATGATATACATGTAATGCAGTAAACTAAAGTATGCATTTTTTTTTAAATAAGAGGTTAGATTCATTAAATGACATTGGCCAAGGACTGGGAGAGGTCATTGAAACCTCAACAGGATATACATTTACAATAAAGTGCCAGTGGCCCATGTACATTTACTGTACAAAATTAGTGACTAGAGTGACAAACACATGTATTAAATGCAAAAATATATGTAGTACACAACTACATTGATACAAAGATCCCATAAAAATGAACAGTTGCTATTTTCCACCAATGTACGTGCCAAAGATCCCAATTATGGAAGATACAAAACTTCTGACATGTTGCTAGAATCACATCCTCACAGATATCCCATGAAATTTGCAATAGAGGGTTGACAGATATTTGGCATCACCAACGGATTCACTTTTAGTACGAAGGCTCAGCAAGTTCGATGTTGATCATTCAAACAGACACTTCAAACTTCCCTTGCACAATTTCTGAAAGAGGAGATGACCATTTAAGATGTATCATTATTGATATCAGTATAAATATATGACAAATAATAAACTAAAGCTCTACAAACAATTGTTCTTTTCTACCTGGCAGATCAGTTTACTGTAGAATATGAATTCACTGTCTTGCAATTTTTTGTTCAAATTAGGATTAATTCTGATATTAAAATGTAAAAATGTGAAAAGTTTATAGACAACAGACAAACACAAGACTGTGACACTGATCAAAAAACTCACTTAGGTCTTAAAATGGCTCAGGTGAGCTTAAATGAAAAGGCTAGAGCTGAAGCTCAATGACTGACTAACATTGAAAAAAATTAATTTCAATTCATGTGATTTTATTGATTAAGAAAATAATGAAGAAATCTTACCATTTTTTTTATGCAGTTCTTGTCCTAACTCTTGTGAGCATCCGGATTCCTGTAAAATGCATGTATACTTCATAGAAGATGATATCTTTGATTAAATTTGATCCAAAATAATTATACATACCCATGCTGTTAGCATGTTTAGATTACCTTTCAGAATTCATTGTTAAAAATAATAAGGATATGGAAAGTAGGCATGTTAAGAATATAAATCTTTAAATGTTGTTTACTTGGCATAGTTGCAATATTTATTTTAATCTTATGCTTAAAGACATAGATTAATAAAATCAAAGTTAGTTTATTTGTTTTGAATGATAATTTGAGCTGGTTCTCACCATATTCACAAGCCTAGTGACTGATTGGTTAAGCATCTACATGTATATGCACTTTTATCAAAGGCCAGGGCTGTGAAAATCATCTCAGGCAATGCAGCAACTATTAAAACAATCGAAACATGCAAGATAAGAGCTGAAAATGGTCATGAACATGCATTACAAAATATATAATTAATTACATGTACATCATACTCTGTAAATGTTATCTTGAACAAAGGAAGGTACAGGTAAAATTCTTTACATCAGTTCGATTCCAAGCAAGGAAATTCGGGTTAAAATCAATGACCTTAATGATATGTATAGATTTGTTAAATAATGATTACAGAAATAGTGCTTGTCCTAACGATTTCACCGTCGGGCATATTTTATGTATGGTGCCCGGATTAATCAAAAGTAGCAGAAACATTCTTCGTTCGAGGACACATAAAATACTGTACAATATTGTACCTACCGGTCTTAAAAATGTCGTCATCTTCTTCCATCCCAAGCTGACCATGATCCCCCTGTTCGTGACACTCATTCCAACTTTCCTACTGTGGAACATCAACATGGTATTCGATATTTTTGAATTTCGGTGTTGTTAAAATTAATTGTTCATCGAGCCCGACTTCGATCCCGATGTTATTGTAATATTAGTCCAATTTAATTGATGACGTAAAAAGTTCGAATTCTTCATTGATAAAACTTGTTTTGATATAAAAAAAATTGTATTTTCAGTGAAAAATTATTCAGATAGTGTTTGTTATTTTTTTAAACAGAAATCTTGGAAATTCGAAACTAACGTATTTCTTAGCTCTACCGTACATTTTTGAAAAGGCGCAAACTTGAAAACGCGCGAGACGTTGGAAGTGGGAATTTGGAGAGTGGAAGGATCGGTATTTGTGATCTATAATATTTGCATAGTCACTGATCTTTGTCAACTTTTAAAGAAAATAACAGAATATGAAGAAGGAAGACTATATATAGGATTGATCTACTTCATAACTGGTGAGTGACAAAAAATGGAGGCAATCACTGAGTCAGAAATCTTTCTGTAAATGTTACTGTCTATTTGTAAAATTAATAAATATGTCTTTTTTTTTAAATGAAAGTTTTGTCTAACTTTGCTTTGAGTTTGGATCCAACCATATAACATACATTAATTATAGACTGAGACTCGAAACATTCATAGGCCTGGTTGATCTACAAAATGGCGGTCCAAGAAAATAGGCTTAAATTCCATTCAGAATGTTTTAATTTGGAAGTGCCTCTGATGCAAAATTAAAATGCAAGAAAATACACAAAAAAGTCTTATGTTTTACAATCATGGGTAATTTCAGAAAATCTTTCTTTTTGAAGGAAAAAGAGAAGCAGTTCACAAATGTTGATGAGCAGAAGACAAGAAACTCTGGCTGCAAAAAAAAATCTGAGCTCTTGAAAAAAAAAGAAAAAAAAGAATTGAAAATATGAATGATATTCAATCAAAGGGTCCAAATGATGAAATTCTGGAAATTCCACATGGAGAGACAATAAGGATTTTTGAATTGACCATCTCTGCTATAAGAACTGCTTGAAAGCTGTTACCCTGGTGCTGAACAAACTTTTCTCCTAGACTGGAATTAAAAATTGTTCAATTTCTGGCATTAAAACACAATTTGAAATATGCTGAGGAAGGACCCCCCTCTCCTTTTGACCAAGTAAGGTTAAACATTCTGCAAGGAGTTGCATTTGAATTGAAATTTTTTATACTTTTACCAGGAATGAACTACATTACTCATTTACTATGGTTTAATGTGTCAGAATTGTCTATTTTAAGTTTTTTGACAAAGATTTTGTTGCCATGGTTGGAAAACAAACAACATTTCTGTGAAATCTTTCAAGATGCTGTATTATAAATCATCTACTGTTACTTTTTTAGCATGACTTCATGCATTTTCATGAATAAACATGAATAATAATATTGGATTTTTTGTTTACAAATAAGCAAGAATATTCATGAATGCTAATGGTTCATGAATTTTATTCATTCATGAACATTCCTGAAAAAATTCATCAAATTATTCATGAATAGTTCATGAAGATGCAATGAACTTATTATTGGACATTCTTGAAATGATGAATCTTCATGAATATGACTGTTCATGAATTATTCATGAAAAAAAATATTCATGAATATTCATCAATTTTCTTTCATGAATAAAAATTCATGATTTGAAAATGTCCAATAATAAGTTCATAGGATCTTCATGAACATTTCATGAAGATTTCATGAATAAAATTCATGAAAAATTCAAGGAAATTCATGAATTATTCATGATCGTCTCGCAGGGGGTGTCAGTAATTTGAGTACTTTCCTTCAGTTGTGAGTCGTGCTGTGAGGGTAGGTGTCGTGTCAGTATTTTGAGGGTTGGTGCTGTGTCAGTAATTTGAGTACTTTTTTTCATTCAGCTGTGAGTCGTGCTGTGAGGGTTGGTGCTGTGTCAGTAATTTGAGTACTTTCTTTCCTTCAGTTGTGAGTCGTGCTGTGAGGGTAGGTGTCATGTCAGTATTTTGAGGGTTGGTGCTGTGTCAGTAATTTGAGTACTTTCTTTCATTCAGCTGTGAGTCGTGCTGTGAGGGTAGGTGCTGAGTCAGTTATTTCAGTACTTTCTCTCCTTTAGTTGTGAGTCGTGCTGTGAGGGTTAGTGCTGTGTCATTAATTTGAGTACTTTCTTTCCTTCAGCTGTGAGTCGTGCTGTGAGGGGAGGTGTTGTGTCAGTAATTTGAGTACTTTCTTTCCTTCAGTTGTGAGTGGTGCTATGATGGTATGTGTTGTGTCAGTAATTTGAGTACTTTTTATCCTTTAGCTGTGAGTCGTGCTGTGAGGGGGGGGGTGTTGTGTCAGTAATTTGAGTACTTTCTTTCCTACAGCTGTAAGTGGTGCTATGATGGTATGTGTTGTATCAATAATTTGAGTACTTTCTTTCCTACAGTTGTGAGTCGTGCTGTGAGGGGAGGTGTTGTATGGATGATGAAGAGGCTGTGTCCTACACCTACAGAATCTCCTTCTGGAATCTCTGGTATTTCTGGTAAGTGCATTGATAAAAGGGAAATCAATTTTCTGAAAAAAATATTGTAAAAACACACTTGTAATGATTTCCAGGGACAGAAATTTTGCTTTGCTTTACATGTTATAAGCATATTTTGTTATATTCATAGGGTGATCAAAACAATTAAAGTCTATATACTATAGGAGAATGAAAGTCACTTTATTATCAGTATTAATTTAATGACAAGTGTTTTTGCTACAAGTGTATAAGGCAAAAAGCATGTGTGTTTTATTGTACTTTATCTTTATTAGCTGCAGTTCTATTTATTTTGTTTTCCAGATTTGATATATTGTTTATTATGATATCCTCTTTGTTTTTTAGGTTTGTTGTTTTGTTTATTCTAATGTCCTGTTTTGGAGGCTGTGGATACTACAAACACAGACAGCGCCTCCTTATGATGCCAAGAGAAACCTTTGTTCATAGAGGACGCCCTAATGCCAGGAATACCCCAGGCTTTGGCAATATGCCAAATAGGCCTCCAGCAACGATTAGTAATTCTAGGACAGAACAGTCATCTGTCAGTGTCTTGCCCCCACCATATTCAGAGGTAAATACCGTGAAATCATTAATTTTCATAAGGGTTTAATTTTTGTTGGTTTGTGGTAGGAAGAGACCAACGAATTTATGTCTTCCACAAAATGTAATTTTTTTTACATATATAACCACCAAACATTTCTTCATCCACGAAGTCAAATCCTCAGGAGCCCATATTTTTTCCTTAGACCATGAAAATTTGCCCCCACAAAAATATGTGATTGTACAGTAAAGCAACAAAAGATACATTCGTGACAACACCTCAAGATTGAGTGTTAGAAATAACAATATGTTGTACCACCTTAGGCAATAGGTTGACTCAGTACCTTTTGCAATTATGAAAAACTTTGGCTTTTAATTTCTAATATAATAAAATGAGTTGCCAAGGAAACCTGTATAATTTAGGCAATGTGAATTATTTAGCTTTAGAATAAATTTCTTTTTGGAATTTCAAGTGTTCACTTCTATTTGTATGAACCTTAGAATAATTTTCTTTTTGGAACTTCAAATGCTCAGTTTCATGTGTATGAGCCATTAGTTGGATAAATTTCTCTTTGGAATTTCAAATGCTTAGTTTCATGTATATGAGCCTTTAGTTGGATGAATTTCTTTTTGGAATTTCAAATGCTCAGTTTTATGTATATGACTCATGAAGACTCCCACTCATCATGTGGCATGGAAACTTTCTTTCAAAGAAAAAGTCTAGTTTCTATTTTTGTAGGTTGCTAAGCAACCAAGAGACCATTTTGAAACAAAGCCGCCACCATACCCTGGAAATGGATCAGGTAAGCAAAACTCTGAGAAAGTCAGGGATTATTGTTTGTAAGCATCTCTAATTGAAATGCCTCTTTCAAAATCCTGTATATGATGTCGACTGGATATTTGAATTCAATGATAGAGACTCTGTTTTAGTGGTTTGTGAGATAATGTATTATCTGTAAAAATCCAATCAAAATCTTTTCAAAAATATTAGTAATGTCATAGTACTAGCATTTAGGTTACTCAAAGATGCTGATCTTGTGAAAGCATAGTCAAGGAGCCAAAGAAGTAATTAGTATAAAATAGACAAACAAAATTATGCTACAGGAACATAAATTTGTTAGCAAAATAAATTTGAGTTGAAAATATGATTGAAAAACATGTTGTCCTCAGTTGTGACTAGATTTATGGTGTTTTTAACCGTAGGTTTAAAAAATATTTACAAATAATGTTTTTTATTTTCATAAATAATGTTTTATAAAAAAAAAATTAAAAAGTTTAACCAGCCTTTCTTTACATATTTTATTAGATATTCATATGATGCATTCATTTACAGCAAACTTTTAACTCGAAAACAACTTATTTGGATATAAATAATTTTTTTTCATTTTCTTTGAAAAAATACAAAAAAATTCATATAAAATAATTAAGAGCTAATATCGACCTTTCAATGCTGAAACCATTGTTTAAAAAGGATGACTCAAAGATCTATAAAATAAAAAGTTGGTGTGGCATTCCACCTTAAAAAGGTTTTTACATGATGTTATAAAAATTAGGAAACCATAGATTTGCCTTTCTCTTTCAGATTGATGAATTTAAGTGGAGATAAAGATTTATATATGTATTTTGTTTCTGTTTTCTTTTCACAGGCATGCCAGCCAATATGACTGAAAGAGGAGTTAATCCCCCTGCATATAGCAAAGACGTCCCTCAGTGAATCTTTGAAAATCAATGAAATAAGTCAGAAAAGTCTTCTTTTAATTAAAGAAAAAAACAAACAATCTTTTATTTACTGTAGATTCCTAATTATACTCGAGGAATTAATTATCGCATAATTTCGTTAGAGGCAACACTCATGAAATAAAATTACTCACTTTTATTTTTATGGTGCTGAAATCCATGTAAATTCTATTGATAAAGCATCCATTCTCGAATTATTATTCTTGCAATTTGACGTTAGAGAGCCATCTCGCGATAATAAGTTCTCGCGAAAAATAAGGAATCTACAGTATATGACGTATATGTATTATTTTGAAGTAACCATTACCGATATATAGAGAAAAATTCGACATTAAAGTAGATTGTTATGTACTTTTATTTTGAAAAATTTCCTTTTTTTAATCAGGTGTTATTGTGTTTTCAAAATGATTTTTGAACTCTGTTTTTGTATCACTTTTTAAAGTTCATTCTTTGAGCAAGAACATTTTTTATAGTTATCAGTCTTTTATAATCTTAGCCTTATTAGCACAGTTTACCTTTGGTGTGCAAAATATTCTTGCATTCACCTCCAATATATTTGTAAGTTAATGACTTTTCATTTCGTACATGTACAATTTACAATTTAGGTGTAAATGATTGCAAGGCAGTTAAATTTTTCTTATCTGTATAAGATATAGAGATTTAATCATTGAATTAATTTTACAAGTTTAAGTTCTTATTTGTTTTGCAAGTATCTCAGATAATAGACATTGGTAACCTGGAAATACATTATACATCATGTATCTACATGTACATATATCGCTACATAATAATGACATACACTGTAATGATTTTAATTGCCTTAAGAACAAGGTTGTGAAAAAAGTTGAAAATAGAAAAAAAATCATATAACTCGGTGATATTAGAATTTTACCTATTTTAAAGACTTCAAGTGGTATTTCGAAGTTTATTATCACAACAATTTAATTAAGTTTATATAATATTTTTTTGGGGGTTTATTTTGTCCCTTACTTGTAATCAGTGCATTACCTTAAATTATAACAGGCGTAGATCATAGAAAATCATATTGAATATCATTCCAAAGACTTATGAATGTAATTTATTTATTTTCTGAACAAATTTACCAAAAAGAACCCTTTGAAAGTACTGTGGAATCACACAAATTTCCGTTGGGGTTAAATTTTCGTTGTTTTCTTAGTGTGAAGAGACCCACAAATAATATATGTCCACCACGAAATGTAAAATGTTACATACATAACTACTCAACAATTCTTCACCCACGAAATCAAATCCCCACAATCCAAGAGGTTTTTTTCTGAAACAAGGAAAATGCGGTAATGACGAATATTTGATGGAGTTATACTGTATACTAAGTATATAATTATGTTCTAAAACAGGCCAGGGGGATATCTACAGACTTTATAGCACTGAATATTTTCATAAGCCATGACGTTACATGTTTGATAAGAAATCACGAAAATGACGTAAATTTAAAATTTCCATAATTGTCCATTGACTCGATAAAATATGTGATTTTCCAGTACTCCTTAAGGATATCATTTCTCAGTTCTGCATATCTCTAATTTTCTCATTACTTAAGGACCAAAAAACGGCTTTCAGGTCTGCAAAAAACCCTTTACAATCAAATATTATAAAGGAGTCACACGTCATATTGTTCAGAGAAAATCTTTTGTTGTCGGGCCATACTAATTTAATATTTTCTGATCGTACTTTGCTTAAAGCCTGCTGTTTAGCTCAGATTCACAAGGAATAACTTATTTAAAAATAGATAATATTTATACAGAAGAATTGCAGTTCATGTGTTTTGTATGCTGTTGTCTGATCTGAATTGTGTATGTAAATTGATATTCTCTCTCTCCCCCCTCCCCCCCCCCAAAAAAAAATCTGAATGAAGAAAAAGGGCACACTGTCATACACGTTTTTTGTGATATGATGGGGGGAAAAATTGCAAAACCTGTAGGTAAATAAGAATGTACAGATTCAAAATCTAAAAACATACAGTATATATATAGTTTACATTATATAGCAAATGTTTAAAATAAATTGCAGCAGATGTGGCCGGTTAACCGGGAATACTTTCTCCTCCTAGACAATCAGGGGTCAGTTTCTTTTGAATGGATCGTGATTCGTTTTATTTATTGGATATGTTTAGTAATCCTCATCCTAAACATTTAGTAATTGATTTGTAAGTCATATTGAGTTTTAAAATTCTTTCATGACAAAAGGAAATGTATCTTAATTGAAAGTTATCTTTGTTATCTGCTATTAATACTTGCCTTTTTAAGCAAGGGATCAATTGGTGTCTTGTAATTTTTGTCACTTGGTGGTGATACAGTTTTACTTTCGTTGTTAAGGTAATGTAAAACAAATGTTAACATTATGACGACCATTATTATTGTTCTAATTTACAAGTTATTTCATTTTTAGAGTGCATTTCTTTTTGTTGTTGTCAGTAGTTACCATAAAAGTAATCTATTTGTCTCAGAGTACAATAATATATCTTGTAACTTAGCAAAATTTTCTTCATCTTATGCATTTTTTATGCAAAGTAATTAAACTTTTGGGAAAAAGAGACGTTGTCTGTTATTTATATGCATTTTCATTTTTGTAAAAGTAATATTAAAAGATGAATATAGTGTTTTGTATTTATTAATTTAATGTTGTTACAGTGAAACCTGTTTAATCCGATATGCACTGGGAGACGAATTTTGTGTCGGAATAAACAGGTAAGGGTATTGCACTTTGTAAAGAGCATAGAAAACGGTAAAATGAGAATGAAAATAAAGGTCGGAATTCACAGGAAAAGGACTGGACGGGTGTTGGATGACACAGTTTTCACTGTATTTTTTTAAGAGAGAACTTGTAACAATAGTAGAACTACCTTATCTTACAGTATGGCCATTACTACTTTTCTGATTGCAAACAAAAGCAACAGTGACTGCAGTTCTTCAGTTATATGAATCTTGCATGTATAAATATTTTGCATACAAGATATGAGGTCATTGTAAAAGTTTAAAGTAGAATCCTTATATCAATTTTATGCTTTTTGATTACTTTAAAAATCCTTTGAAAATCTGTGAATATCAAATTCTAATTTTCTGTCCGTCGTTGCAAATAATTAATCAGTAAATTGTAGGACATTTTTCCCAAGTTGTATTGGTCTTTTGGTTTCTGTCATACTTTGATTGCTTACTGAATCGTGGAAAGAAATTCCGTTGTTACTGGATTAATTTGTTTGTTTGTTTAACGTCTTTTTAAGAATTTTCACTCACAATGAGATGCAATCACTTTCCAGTGGATCTCTGTAATTACGGCCTTGATTTGCTAGGGATGTATTTCGTGTGTGAGCATACCTCTACTTGGAATTTCGGCTTATATGTTCCCATCCGTAGGCCCGGTATCCGAACTCTTCACAGAAGGATAACTCCTTCATCTGCAACTCTTTGAGTAAACTCACTACAGTAAACACTGCTCCACACAGGAACCCGATTTCATTGCATTTTATATTAAATATATATGTAAAAACATCTTCATTAACTGAAATATCTTAATATTCTGCACAGAAAACAAATTTCCCCAAACCTGAATTTTTCTTCAGTTACAGACAATTTTGTTTCTTTTAAATGCAGACAGTTTAATGTTTTTGTTAAACTGGTAAATATACTTTGTTCCGAATCAATGTAAAGATTTTATACGACACAATGTATATGCAATCATTTCTGTCAAAGTTTAAAATGGAGCAAAAATGCATTATATCTTTATCTTACAATGAACAATATTTGAGAATCTTTGTCGACGTTGTTCTTGACGTTACAATGTTGGTTAACCGTGCTCCGTAGTAACAAAAATGTTGCTTTAAAAATTGGCTAGCATGAGTTCAATTTAATCAAATGGAATGAAACTTCACACTTCGACAAAATAAATGTTTTTATTTACGAAAATGTGTTGATCTATAATCTTGTTTTAATAATATGACGATGAGGAACATTGTCTACGTGTTTTTTGAATGACCCTCGTATTATGATAAAGTTTTTTTTTTTTACCATTTTGAATACGGAATACAAGCTGAAAATCTCGTCATGATCAATGCCGGAAGATTTGTGTCCAGTTGACAGGAGGTGTTTACTTCACCTAGGCACTTATCCCTCCACTCGGGGTTTACAGGGATGTGTTTGTCTTTTGTGCAATTTGTATTCGTTTCTGAGTTTCAAAAAAACCCCTGATTTTTGTTCCTTATTTTCTACTTTTACATGACTGCATGAGCAACTATCAGAGCAACTACCATAATTTTGTGTTTTCTTGTTGCTAGAATGTAACATCATGTTTTTTTTAGCTATCGAAAGCGTTTGCTTAATGTCAAGATTAAATATGAAGAAAACGAACAGTATAAAGGCTCAAAGGAAAAAAAAAACAATACACATCGGGAGCAGAGCAAAAAGTACCTCTAAAATATCAGAGTTAGAGACAGGTGTCATAGAGGAGTAAGTTTCTCCTTCCGACTGCTCACATCCACCATGTGCTACTTGTCTTTACTAAGAAAGCAAAAAAAAAAATGAACTTCATTCAGTTTGTTATATTGTTTATTTGTATGATGTTTAAAATCCCTCTCGAGAATTTTTTCACTGATATAAAGTTAAAAACCCCTTAGCATAGATTTGTCACACAGTTGGTATTAGCGATAGATATTTGTGTTAAATTCTTATCACAATGTCTTACATCAAAATATCTTCATTTAATTATATTTAATGTATATTACCCTGAAATATAATAACAAGCACTATAAAAAGGTTTTTAAAAACATAAATTTAAGAGAATTTAATAAATTTTATACATGCGGAAAAAAATTTTGTCCATTTCTTGTATGTATAAATGCATATAGGATTTGTTTTAAGCTTGTAAATATGAAGACTTAAATAAATACCAGCTTAATTTGTAAAAATATTTTTTTTTAATTTTCCTGTGAATAATAAATCTACATTAATATTATAAATCAATGAATCTAGACTGTAAATTTTTGAAACTCGTTCATCATATTCTTCAAAGTTATTTATATCCTATATCTGATTTAAATTTGCTTCATCATCTTTTTAATTTTACTGTCAGAGTTTTGTTTTCGTGATGTGTTCGTTATTTTTCAAAAAATCTATCAAGACACTGTTTTATGCTTCCCAGTCATCTTTTTATGAGGAATTTCCCTTGTTATAAAAATGTTATCAGATACATTTTATCTGAGTCATTTATTTTTTATAACCATGTTTAATGTCTTAATGACTCAAAGAAGAGCACATTAAAAAGATTAAAGGTATATTCAACCATAACGAATAAAAAATAGTTTCTGGCCTTTGATCTTCAAATCATGCAAAATTGATTAACCTGTTAATATCTGCATTATTCATCCATTTAAGAATGCGTCGTTTCTTCATAGCAATTAGATCATAACAAGGTCATAATATTTATTTAAAAATGTTTAATAGTAGATGCTTGCATTGTTCAAACCCCCTAGTTTAATATCTTCAAAAATCGAAGCATTGTCAATCCGTAAAACCTTTCATTCAAAAGCATATCTCAGATTTGTTTTTCATTTAAAATGAATATTTTAAAAAAGATTATTATTTGTTTTAATCAATTTCTCACTCATTAAACAATCTTCAATTATCAGGAAGCTGAAAATATGTAAGATTTAAAGCATTTTTAAAATATCAAGAAAAAAAATCATTTTTACAAATAATATTATAATTTTTAATGGTTAAACACCAGTATATATATATATATATATATATATATATATATATATATATATATATATATATATATATATATATATATATATATATATATATATATATATATATATATATATATATATATATTTAGATATTAGTGAAATTAATTTAAAATAGTTATCAATAATTACATATAAATAAGTACAAGAAGTAAAATCAACAGCCACATTTGCTTATGTCACAGAAATGTAAATATCAATTGAAAAAAATCGATAACATAATTGATTACATAAAAAGTTAAAAATTTCATTTTCTTCTCCCAATATTTTATCTTGAGATGTTCCACAAAAAACGATTCCATTAATTGCTGTAGCTTTCAAACCATCTCTGGTTGTGACGAAGGTGGTATCAACCAGTAAGTTTTCATGATACCTTTACCCTGAAATATAATAACAAGCACTATAAAAAAATATTAAAAATTTTTTTAAAAAGCATAAATTTATAAGAATTTAATAAATTTTATACATGCAGAAAAAAATTTGTTCACTACATGTATGTATAAATGCATGTAGGATTTTTTTTTTAAACTTGTTTTTTTTTGGGGGGGGGGTTGCATCTAGAAACAATTTTTTAGCATCTTGATAATAACTTTTAATAAAATTTCTATTGACTTGTTTTTTTTTTAACTTGCCTTGATCTGTAGTTCTCCTCTGTCCTCAAGAAAGAATTCAGGACTTCTACAGAGTAAATTCCTTGTGCTTTCGCTGACATGTATTTTCATTGCTGTATAAAATAAAATAAACTCCAAAATGAAATGTTTGAATATTGTATCACAATAAAGTAAGTGTTTTAGGACTTGATATTTAGTTTTATTGATTAATTTCAAATAAAAAATAATGAATAACTCCATTACTTGCTATTTAGTTGATTGAATTTTTTTTTAGCTAAACCCCTTCTCAATTTTACGTTTTATCCAGAAAACATTACAGAAACTAATTGATAGGGTTAATAACTATATAAATGTCTACATTTTGCATTTTTAGACTAAAAAAAAATCAAACTGTTTTTGACTTTTAAGATTTTGAATCATTAATTTTTTCGACAGAAAATATTGTATTATAAGAAATGGGTCCTCTATGACAGAAAATTATACATTGTAATGTATGGGTCTTTTATGACAGAAAATCCTACATTGGAAAGTAAAACTGTAAATTAAAAAAAATAATGATAATTATATGTTAAGGTGAATACTACCGTCTCCGTTGGACTCCATTCTTGACGCCGTATTGACGGTGTCCCCAAACAGACAGTACCGAGGCATTTTACGTCCCACCACCCCAGCACACACCGGTCCTGTCCGAGAGAAAGAAAAGTCACGTTCAACCAGACGCTCGGCTGTCTCCGTAAATCCCCGATGGGACTTACGGAGACAGACAAGTGTCTATTTGAATGAGACTAGGGAGATCTACTGCGATCGTAACAATCGCAACTATTCGGGTCTTTACGACAAGCGGCGACGTTACACCAGAAAGATCCCAACAGATGCTATTATAATCATATACAATTCTTCAAAATTCTCAACAAACACATGATAATGATAATAAAAGTACCAATTTTTTTAAATACGCTTTAAACGTTTAATTGTAAAATCAATGAAGTTCATTCAAAGAACAAGGGGTATTTTAAATGAAGGGTATTTGCAAGTCAGAGGAAACATTCCAGTCAAAAAAAAGCTCGGGAAAGGTCAAAATAAAAATGCAAACTTGATAAGAAAAAAACAATTCAAATACATATTAATTTAAATAAATTCATTGATACAGACTTGTAGAAAAACCTTTATTTCAACTTATTATACCTGAATGTATTCCAATCCGAGCGCGCAATGGCATGTCTGGCCGGTGTCTGATTTTGAACACCTTAACGTTCTCTAAGACTGATATTGCCATTCTGGCTATTTCTATTGAATGTTGATCACCATTCCTCTGGGGCAGACCGGAAACAACCATATAGGCGTCACCAATAGTCTCCACCTAAAATATCAATTGTACAGTGAAAACTGTCAAACCCGATACTGTGCAATCCGACACACTGCCCATTCTAACACAAAATTTGTCTCTAAGTGCATATGGGTTAGACAGGTTTCGCTGTACAAAAATCAGCTTATCAATGAGAAAGAAGGGAATCCGCAGGGGAGACCAGTATTAGATGTTCAGAAAAGATAACGAAAGTCCTTTAAAAAACAAAACAAATATCTACATAATTTATAGGAAGGGAATTGCATGGTCATTAGGAATAGACAAATAAAGCTTTAAAAAAGACAATGCACTCTGTTAAGAGCGTTTATTCTTACCTTGTAAACATCATAATTGTCTATAATTCTGTCAAAACAGGTATACAGGTCATTCAAAAGATCCACCACCTACAAATATATATTTTGGTGTTTATCTACTGCATTTCTTAAACATTTTTTTAAATATAAATTTTGATAGAATCGCTATTTTAAAAAAATCATTAAAAATTCACTTTATTCAAAAGCTTTTTCATTAGTTAACAAAGTTATATGGTGTTAAGTTTTAAATGATGCTTATGATAAAAAAAGAACTGAAAGTTAAAGTGTGATACTATGTACAAATGACCTGCATCGGTGTGCTCTCAGAGGAAAGTTGGGTAAAGCCAACGATATCACTAAAATATATGGTCACACATGCAAAGGCTTCTGGGTCTACAACTCGACCACTCTTAAGTTCAATGGCAACACTCCTGAAATGGAAAAGGAAAATTCCTAAACAAAAAGATTATATCCAAAAGAAATATGTTCGTTTTCAGAAAAGGCAAAACTATTTCTAATTCGTTGATATACAATTGTTACCAGTTATAACATATTTGGTAAAGAAAATGTGATTGATTAGAAAAGACATATCTTATTGTAATGTAAAAATAGTATACAAACACTGTCAGTTGCTTTCAAATACATCATAAAAGTCATTACATTATAAACCCTGTAGATTCATCTTGCTGATATACCAAGTTATACCTCGGTAAAACTTGGTATAAGAGTTCCTCAGACCGAATTTTCTCTTCTATCAGATTCTGGGTTCTCTCCTCTACCAAACCCTCCAAGTTATCAGCGTACTCCTCCATCCGGGATAAAAGTGTGTCCAGTAACTTGTCACCAGATTTATTCCTTTACAATCAGAAAAGGAGAGGAATACACGGTTTAAAACAGTGGAAACAATTTGATATATAAATTTCATGTAATTATATGTTTTGTGTGAACGATATTTGATGGAAATTAAATTGTCAAGTTAGTTAGATTTGATATAAGTTATATATTATAGTATAAAATATATAAAAAGACTTTCAGCAAGGTAAATGAATTATTTAGCTTGATTTAGCAATAATCAATAAAGATGAACATGCAACCAAACAAAAACTTACCATTGTAGTCTCCTGGAATCCTTTCTAATGGCGGAGAAGGTGGGCCTTGCTTTGGGATCTTCGTCCCAGCATCTCTTCATTAACATCTCCATATCCTTGTCTATTTCTACAATGTCTAGTCTCGGCCGGAACGGGGTTTCGTCAAAGTCTTTTAGCTTTTCTAGTATTTCTTGAAAATGAACGATGCATTTTAATTTCCGATTACTGAATGAATTAAAGGAATCGTGGAAGGATATTTCTGTTAGTAACACCTGTATAATTTGTAAAAATGTCTTTTATATCAAGTGTACTCAAACCTTTTTCAATGGCTTAATTACTGCAAATATAGATTTTTAATTAAGGAAAAGAAAGATATTACTGATTTTGCAACTATATACTTTTTTAAACACATAACGAAAATATGCTATGAAGAGAGTCAAGAATTCATAACCTCAAGGAAATAAACAAATTTCGTATTAGAGTATAGGGCTTCTCCTTGAACCACGAGTTCAAATCCCCTTTGAACCAGTATATTTTTTTAGACCATAGAAATTTTTATCTCTAGCAAATTAGTGATTTTACAGTATCTGAAAATAAAGATTTTACTGTTTTCGTTTGATTTTCAAAGATATGAGATATATTTTGTAAGCAATATAAATGTCCAATTTTATTTTTTTATGTACTGAGTATAAACCGCGCACCTTCCAAAGTCAGAAAGTCTTTATCATCCTCAAATGGTTCTTTCCGAGACAGAATTTCATACAGAATGATACCGAAACTGTATATGTCAGCACTCTGCATTTCCCAAATTTCCCTCTTCAATGAAAACTTTCGGAGCATCTCGGGAGCCATCCATAAACATTCTAAAATTAAAATCTTAAAGAATTGAAATCTTCAATTTATTACAATTTGTCTTGAAAGAAAATAACAAATTCGATACATATATCTCATTATTTCAAAGCTATTTTTTTTTCTATTCTGGATACATCTTTAATACGAATTCTCTGTTTTCTTATATTTTGTTTCATTTTATTGCCTAAGAAAGGGACTGTACTTTTGAGTTCAAAAGAGTAATTGACCTTTAATGGTAAAAGAAGTTTTCTTATATTTAACGCAGTTTCACCTTCACGAGACTCGTCAATTTCGAAGTCTCTGATGGACCGAATGCCATAATCTGTGACCTTCAGGACAAATCTACTGTCGATGACGCAATTCTGGCTATTAAGATGACCATGGAACTTTATACTGGAGGAGTGAATATACTCCATTGCCTACAGAAAAAAAAATGCTTGTATCAGGTTAAGTTCCTATGTATTTCTATTTATATTTCGACAGTGAGAAAAAAATCCATGACGCTTTATATTTGCTACATACTCTGAGGAAATATTCTTTACAAATACAAAGCAAAAAAGTATATTTTGCTGCGATTTATATTTTCAGCGAAACATTATTTTAAAATTAAATTGACTTTAAGGCTAATTTTTCTGTAATTTTGCACAAAAATCAATTTTATTTTATTCATTTTTATAATTAATTTCCATTTCAATATATATTTCCTATTAATCACAATAAATACTAAACCTATAGAATAAAACTTTACCTGGATAATGTCACATATCAATGAAATACAGAACTCTACGTTCAATTTGAAAGATTCGTTGCTCAGGATATCCTGTGAATTATAAATTTTTATTTTTCAAAAACCTCCATAAAGTTTGAATGTTGACATCTAATTTTAAGTGTAATTATCAACTATAGAAACTCTGCATTTGTCATGAATTATAATCATCAGCTTTGTAGTTAACTACAATGTCTGTTGGCATAAATAAAAGAAGCAATAAAAAGTGGTGTTTTTCTTAAGAAGAGGGGTAGGAAACATATGATGTTAAATAATGAGTAACATTAAAATAAAAAGAAAAGATCTCTACATAAAATCAAGTCATTTACAGTGTTGACATAGCTTCTGTTCATAACCAATAATTGCTTTTACGTTTCAATATTCCGACAATTTTTTTTTTCATCATAAAATGGATTAAATGCGAAGATAAATTTAATAAATTCAAACAAATTCATATTACAAAATGCAGTAAAGGTATAAAAAGTCTATCTAGATATAGACCCTTAATTATTTTTCTAAATCATTAGTGGTGCGGTTTTCTTTCAATATCTTTCTATAATGAATGGTCTTACTCTTAGTTCACCGCGTGAGCAGAATTCTGTTACTATAAATACTCCTGATTCACTTTCAGTTAGTCCAAAGAATTTCGCCAGATTATGACAATTAACGTCTCGTAACTGAAAAAGGTACAAAGAAATTATTAGTATTGTATATCATCAAAACAAAGCAAACTGTAACTACAAATGCACATGTAAGAGAAAATTAACTGGATATTCTATAATTACCTGTAATAATTCCATAAAAAGTCTCCGATTCGTTGTGAATTGTTTTCGTTTTGATTTTGATAATGAAACTTTGGTTCCCTGAAAGAAAAAACAACAACTAGAGTGATTTTATGTGAACATATTATAGGCATCATATAAATTGCATAACGAATTATTTATGTTGATATTGAGCTTATTCCTGTTAATCAAGCTTGGAATCAGAATGTTCTGTAAAATGGCATAAAGGAAACCACAAAGTACTGCAGTAAGAGGAAGTACAGTTTTACAATAAATTTTCTCAAATTATTAGCTATAAATGATTGGTATGTTAAACAATTTCGGAGGACACTATTATTTTTGTAAAAACTTGCTGATAAACCATACCTTATAGTATGCAATGCGTAGTTCTTCTTTGTCCAATATGCTCATACCATCTGATAATCCTTTTAACTGTATCATAATAACCAAATTGAAACATCATTTATATCAACGAAATTAAATCGTTGAAGAAAAGTATTTTCAATTTGCCAATGCCTGGATGCTTCTGATGTCAAATTCAAAATTAAAGAAAAGTGAATATGAATACTAATTTAATTATTCAGCTCCATTTTCTTGGCATTAAAAAGTTTCAAGTACATCCTTGTCAAAAAAAAAAAGAATAAACACTCACTTCAGATTCCTATTAATATTTTACATGTATTTCATAAATGTCTAATGAACATAGTATCAAGTATTTAACCTTGGCTTCTGAGAGACACAGGCTTGAGAATCTTGTGTTGACATTTGACGACCGTGTGATATCCTCCCAAGGAATCTTCCACCAATTACTGAACAGCTCAGAATCTCTCTTCATTTTTCTGTAAAAAAAACTCGATGAGACGTGTTGTTAGAAAAGATAAGAAAAAGATGAAAATAATTTACATCTGTATACATGTATACTACGAATAGTAGATAATTTACCTGTATTTTACAAACAGTTGACTATTTACCTGTACACATGGAATAGTATATAATTTAACTGTATAGTACGTACAGTAGATAATTTACCTGTATACTACGTACAGTAAGGGATATTGGTGTAAACCTTGAAAAAGAAATACCTGTATAACTTTACCTGTACAAAAGTAGATAATTTACCTGTATACTACGTACAGTAGATGATAATTTACCTGTATACTATGTATAGTAAATAATTTACCTATATACTACGTACAGTAGATAAATTACCTGTATTTTACAAACAGTAGACGATTTACCTGTATACATCGAATAGTATATAATTTAACTGTATACTACGTACAGTAGATAATTTAAGTGTATACTACGTACAGTAATTTATTCACCTGTATACTACGTACAGTAGATAATTTACCTGTATACTACGTGCAGCTGGTAATTTACCTGTATACCACGAGCATGCCCACACAGAAGAGCATGATGACAACAGAAAACACCACGGATAGAACCTTCACCAGAACGCTCTCTACATGAAAAAAGTGATTTTTGGACATAAATTTATAGAATTTTTATTTTTTTTCAGAACAAACGTATTTCCTACAGATAAAAAATTAGGGGATCTTGTACAACTAAATCTACGTATCATCTACTTAGTAATTTACTCCTCAAAATTAGTTATTTAATTACATATCATTAGGCACACTCTCTTAAAAGCTTATGTACTATACACATGTATTTGTAACATTTTCGGGACCATCCATCAAGTATTGAACCGAAATTGAATATCCTGACAGGTCTTTTCTTGTCATTTAAAATTTTGAAAAATGTTTTTAAAAAATTTCTCTTTAAATTCAATATAAATATTACCCTCAGCATTGCTGCATTCTGGTGCGTCGCCAAGGAAGCCGCACGGGGGACTGTTGGGTGGCGGGCCTCGGTTATTTGGCCACCGGATGACATTGGTGTTAGTGAAATAAAAAGACGTAGCGGCACCCCTGCCGACTTCCTACGATAAAAATAAATCCAACGACAATATAGTCGTACTGAGACAAGAGATTTTTGGCTTACAGCCGCTCCCAACATAGGTCAAAATTTAATTCAGTGAAAGTTGTCTCAATTTTTTATCCTATGATGAAGTAATCTCAAATTAAGAAAGTGGCTTCACAACTTCACAAGAAAAAGTTTACTTAGTACGTTTATTATGAAAGCATATTGATTTATTGAATCCACTGTATGAACGTGTAACCTATGAAATCACATCCTCGTAAACAGTAAACATTGAAGTTTGTTTCACACGAAAAATGTTTTGTATATATATATATATATATATATATATATATATATATATATATATATATATATATATATATATATATATATATATATATATATATATATATATATATATATATATATATATATTTTTTTTTTAAATAAATTTTAAGAAAACTCACGACAAAGTCTCCGGTATCTGGATCTAGGTCAAGTAGGGTCATGTAGACATTTAGGTCTCCTTTGAAGTCGATTAGCAGTTGGCCATTGATACCTGTTCAATATTTGGGATTCTTTACATCAGATGCATGATATAATAAAGAGAAAAAACATCGACTTGGTGATAAATGCTTGCTTAATCTTTGCGAATGTTGAGATTTTTTTAGATCAAAAATATTAAATAGAAAACTAAATTTCAGAGATGATGTTGACCATCAGTGTTCCTGTCGTTATTTGTTTGTTTCTTTTTTTGTTTAAGTCATCTTACCTTCAAATGTTCTATTCAAGATTCGTTTATTTATTTGAGTGCTGTCTTTGTAATCGTCTCCGTCTTCAACTGTCTCCTTTAGAGCTTCCCCATACAGGAGAAAGGAGTTATAAAACGCCACCACATGAGGATTAATCTGCAGAGAAATGACATTGAAATAAGTTCCATTTCTTGGAGCAGCTCTATCACCACAGAGATTTTATAGTTTAAACATGTCGTGGAATCATTTTAAATTGTGGGAGTTAAATGTTTTAGGTAAGAAAAATTTTACTTGTTCCCGCGGACGTAATTTCATCGCTAGGGATAACTCAGAAAATCCACAATCGTTAGTTTCCGACGAGCAATTATGAATATGATGTATTCGAGTAAAATGCGTATTCTTTTAATGCAATTGTCACCTTTTCAGCCATTCTACAAATCTCACAGGCAAAAAGACCTGATTTTGCAAAATGCCCGAAAAATTTTGTTCTCAATTTTCGTTTGTTGGTTTCTGATGCAATTCCTTCAGGCACATATTGAAAGAGCTGTCAAAAGCAGGGGTTCTCGATATTTTGAATCTGATTTTTCTGAAAATTTACGCTTTTTTAGAATATTGCAACTGAATGTTGCATAGCCTAAAAAGGAAAATGGGCGACTGGAACAGGTGTAGCACAGTCTTCAATTTCAGGTTTTAATGTTACGCACAGCACCATATCTAACTTATAAATAATATTTAATACTAGTCCAGAATGTTTATCAGAAAGCCTGTTATAAGTTTAAGAGTGCTAAGGCTTGGTTATGGACGTTAGACGGAATACTGCCTCCAGGACGTTGAAAGATTTGGTGGTGGTAGTACACTGATAGGGAAAACAGTATTACAATAAAGTAAGACTGATTCATATTCGAAGAATTTTGGAACAAGGTACTCTAACGATGATCTACCCGCACATACAATTTCAATTTTACAGCATCCTGGTGTCGTATTTCAATCTGACAATACATACCTACGTGTGCCTCTTTTAACAATTACATTCTTGCTAAGCAACAGTAGTTGAGCAGCGTTGTACAAAATGCATTGTCATGATAAGTCAAAGACATTCAAATCAACAGACTCTGCAACAGTTGATCATAGCCCTACATTTGGAATGGTAAAGTATTCTTAAATAGTTTTACAACACACGTCATTTGCTTCCATTAAATGATGTTTTGGCTACCATATGTGTCTGGGGGAGTGGGGGACAAACCCAATATTGATCTTTAATGATCTTGAACTTTCTATGATTTTCAAATTCTTGAGTAATTATGAGATAGAGATAGTATCCCTTTTGATAAGCACATTTCTGTATTATCAATACATCATTTTACTTAAAAATTTTTATATTCAATATGTAACTACAATTTTACTTTGCGTTTCTTATTTTGAAGAGTATATATAATCATGTCATAGATTTTTTTTTTCATTTTGGAGAATTTAGAATTAGAACGAGGATTTAATGCTTCGATCAAGACTCACATCTTCTCGTTCTTTGTAAGTGTAGTTGTAAACCTTCTGGGATTCACTTTTCACCTGGGCTTCAAATTCCTTATACTTCTGACTACTGGATTTATAGAGACTGACCACAAGCAATGCTTCATAGGATTTCTTAACAATCTGAAAATGTTTGAAATGATACGGTCATATAGACAGACAGTTAGTTGTACATGCACGTGTACGTACATGGACATTATAACAAATAAAAACAAACATGCATACAACTGATGTCAATTATTGTACAAAAAATTCCTTTTGAAGGTAAATGTTAAAAATATGTTGGGTTTTTTCGAAAAAAAATTTTATCAGAATTAAAATCTATTATGTTGAAAATTGTATGAGGCTAAATTCGATCATGAAAATATAGTTTGACATATTATGCATATTTTTTTGTCTTTCTCAAAGGTATTATATATCTTAAAAGTTCAAAAATCGTAATCGTTATATACATGAATTATCTATGTTGGTATTATCAAAGGCATATTCTATTACGAAATATACACTTAAGAGGGGAGAAAATGTTCGTTGGGCCAATAAGTTCCTCTTCCATTGTTTTAACCAATTGTCGACATATTTTTACGTTCTTTCGATGTTTTTGACGATAAATGACAATCATAACAACAAATAAATGACTATTAAAATAGCTCTGTTCACAAAATCTGATATCTTAGCAAAACATAAACAGATGTGCCAAGATAAATGAAATGTATTAAAAATTCTTTAACATAAATAGATTTTACAATATAATGAATTTTAAACTTAATACATTTTGAAAAAAAATCAGTGTATGGTCTATATCAACATAATTCAAAATTAAGGACAGAGGATACAAACAAACCTTATTTAGAAATAATAAAAAGTAAAAAAAAAACAACTTGAATACTAAGGTATGCAATGAAGAAGATAAAGTCCTTGACCTGACCTTATTAATCTTTATAAAATCGTTATAAAGATTCTTTATACAAATGTTTGCCTATTAAATCCCATAATTTTGAAACCTTGAATGAAAAATCGAAATTAGACGTGCTTCTTTTCAATTACATTATATATAATTTTATATAGATTGATAATTTGATAAGGATGGTAACAGATGGGTATATATTTGAACATCTTAGAATTTTTACAATTTCTTTGGGAGGGATTTTTACCATATTTTTTTAAATTTGAAAATTACAAGACATTTTAACAGATTCAGTATGGTTGAGATTCCAGTCGATTTTTTTTTGGAACCAAGGTCAGGTCAAAGACTTCTCATTTCACAAAAATTAATTATACCAATCTTTAATGCCTACTTTTGTTATAAAATCTTAATCAATTTCCGGATAAACAAAAAAGATACTATGTGAAGGATATGGAGATAACGAAAAGTGTTCAATATCAAAGTCATTAAAACAATACAGAATAGGAGCAGAGCAAACACGGACCTCCAAAACATCGGAGGTGGGATCAGGTGCCATGGAGGAGTAAGCATCCCCAAATTTATTATAGCCCCGTTTTATTTTCGCCCCTTTCGCCCTTTTTGTGCTTGGGCAACATTAAACAGGGCAAATTTATACAACACGGCATAATTTCTTTATCAGAATTATGACTAAGCGAATTTAAAACGGGCAAAAGTGTTCGCAAATTCAAAGGGGTGTAAATAACACCGGACGAAAATAACACTTTATAGAGTATCGACTAATCCGAATTCCCCATTTTATTTAGGTTTTTAAAAATATGTTTCATATATTCAAATTTGTCTTTATTTTTACATATTAAGATACAAGATGATATAAAAATAAAAAAAATAAACTTGGTTTGTGTACTTGTATTTAGAAAAATAAACGCTCTTCTGAATTTTATCTACATGTACATCTCTTCTTAGATTGCATTCTTTCTAAAGCTATAAAGTTTGTACTTCTGTTTGGAAAATCATATTTATCTCAAATATTTAAATATATGAGATGCGTAAGGAAATTTTGTTGTTTATTTTATTATTGTTATTATCATTATTATTATTATTATCATGGATGGTTTTTTTAATTTGCATTTGAAACTATAAAAATTTTTGTTCTGGTGAATTTGAAAAGCAGAAGTGGGGATATTTTCACACGCTGCCATTCCGCCAAAAATTATAGCTCTTGATTTCAAAATCAGTGTACCATTTCTGTTTTAAATCATATAATTATGAAAAGGAAAGAAAAGAATGATCTTTTTATTTTCTTACATATTCCCGTCTCTGATGATTTGAGTTTTAACTCGTCTCCAAAATTTGCATTGTTTAGTGGTCTTTAGAGGTTGAAAACTATTCGATATATTTAACATTTTATCTTGAAACCAAACAATCTCTCCTTAATATTATTATTGCTTGCATCATTTACAACTAAAATAGGCCCAAAGATATATGCATTCATTGTTTCGTTGGCATCATCTGTCCTTAAGATGGAAATAAATAAGGTATAAACAATATAAACGTAACCTCGTCATTTTCATCGTGCTTTTTCCAGGCAATGTCCCCAGTTACAAACCCATTAAAGGCAAAGAAATATAGAAAAACGTAATCTCCATTTGTCATCCCCATAGAATGTGCCATCAGCATCAAGTTTCTGAGGGCCACACTGTCACAGGAGATGATGATGACTGTAAAAAAAAATAAATAAAGGCGTGATAAAAAATAGTGCATCATTTCATTGATATCTATTCAGATCAAAATTGTTAATTGAACAAAACTACTATGAACATTTTTTTATTTCAATTTTTTGTTGGTTTTCATATTTAACTTCATCCTCTGCAATTATTTTTCGCAAGAAAAGAAATATTTTTAAGATAAGTTCGCGGAAGGAAATATTCGTGTGAAAAACAAGTTCGCAAAGCTCGCCAATATTTCTCACACGCGTGTAAGCGATTAAAACTTAGTAATCAACATACCTCTTGAAGTTTTGTTGGCTTCATGGAGTATGCTTTTGTATTCTTGCTGATTGTCTGAATAAAACTTTACGTTGGTAACGGTCAGGCCAGCCTCTAAGAGCTGCGTGTGTACATGATTAGCAATTAACTGGTTCAAATGAGAAACCGTAAATATAAGATGTTTTCCTTGGTCATAGATTATTGTTATATCAGTCCAGTTGAAATGTGCAAATAAGTGTATGTATATGTTGTCTAGATGGCTAAAACTGTATGCCATTCTTATCACGGTGTTGTAGATTTGTTTGTTGTCTAATGCACCGGAAGCTGAACTTGTTCCAAATACAGGAATTTTCCAGTAAGAAGCCATTCTTCCGATGTACTCCACTGGTCCGCTGCAAGCTAGAAATATCAATAATTTCACTTGGTAATGTATATTTTTATGGAACTCGTGAAAACTGAAATATATTTAGTGAATTTTCTTTTCACAGGAAATAGCTACCCTTTCGTGTCTGATCTCTCCTTTAGAATTTCTGCGAGTCCATGTTTATTCTTTTTCAACATGTAAAAATTTTTGAATTTTGTGAGCAATCTATTTTTTCTGTGTTTTTTTGTGATATTTTAATATCAGAACAGATCTATGAAAACAAATACCATTCCCCTGTACGTTTGGTTTCTATAACATTAAGTATAAAAAATAAAATAAACATCTACTGCTTATCGACGTTATTTTAAAGTTACATTTATACTACGTTACTTTTGTTTCAAAAACCTCTAACGTTGGCTTCATGGAGTATGCTTTTGAAAACACAGAAAAGACATTGGTAATTCGACATTTAAGAGCTACATCATCAGCAATATTTTATGATAAATCATGGATAGTGTTTTCCTTGGTCATAGATAATTGTTACATCAGTCCAGTTGAAATGTGCAAATAAGTGTTTGTATACGTTGCCCAGGTGACCAAAACTGTACGCCATTCTCGTCACGGTGTTGTAGATTTGTTTGTTGTCTAAGACACCGGAAGCTGAACTTGTTCCAAATACAGGGATTTTCCAGTACCATTCTTCCGGTCACTGAATCAATTATTTCTCTTTGTATTGTATGTCTTTACATTCGTAAAAACTAAATATATTAATTTTGTTAATTTGATTAACCATTTTCACCTGCATTTGGTGTTCATATTTTTCAAATTACTATCACAATTTGTATAATTGTAGGTTTTTGTGACATCGCAAAATTTTGTTTTCTATTTTTTTCATAGAAATTGATGATCTACAACGATTTTCCCTGTAACATGACTGAAGAAATTTTTTTTGAGAAAGTGCTTATTACATTGTTTTTAATTAACATTTATTCTACATCTCTTATATTATCATAAAACTTCTACATTAGAAGGAGAAAACACTTGCAGTACTGTAAATTCCTAATTAAACGTGACCCAATTTATTATCATAATATTTTTATTTTTATAAATCCAAATCATTTGTGTTAATTGTTTTTTACATATCATGATTAATTCAAAACTTGTCCAGATTTTAGAATTGCAAAAATCGGATTGTGGAACAGGTAAAAATTAAATAAAATTGACATCGTCCACAAACAACCCTCGCCTAAAGACCTTTTAATTAATATAACATATAATTTGGTCGTATTATGACTGATTTGTTTCATGCTTATTTGATACGTTTGACAGCGAAACCGTTAGAGCAAGTGCAGTTTAATTTTCTAATTTTTTTATGCATAATTTTTTCCAGATTTTATACATTTCTCTAATGATTTTTTACATTCTGCTTATTATGTTAGAATTTTCAGTAAACTCCTCATGTTCGTATTAGAAATATTTTATGACAAATAGAAAATTCTCTTACAAAGTTAACTTAACATGCATCGGGATCAAGACTCCGAAAATCTTGGAATTTTCCGACAGTATAGGAAATTCATTAGCCTTAAAACTGAGGCAATTGTGACGTCATTTTCTCTTATCAATAAAAAAATTCTTGTCGAATTTACGTAATTTTAGGACCTAGCTAACTATATATTTAATTGTTGTTAGTTACATACGTGCTCAAATTACGTTTTTACTTATATCAAAAAATTGCTTTATATTATGTGATTATCAATCATGATTTCAGTATATTTAAACCAATTTAGTTCAATAGCTGTATAATACGTACTTGGTCCAATGATTGCATTTACTTTTCCTAAATAGTA